ACCAAGGTATTTAAAATGGTACTCTATGGCCTCCCGCAACTTAATACCAGTGAGATCAAAGACGAATTAAAAAATTCCTACAACATTAATGTTGTCAATATCAAAGAAATTAAAACCGCTCGTTCTTCTGAAAGTGATGCAATTTATATGACTGAGTTCGATCGTTCAGTAAACAGTAAAGCCCAAATCCTCAAAATTAGGAAAGTATGTAAGATCAATATTCACTGGAGAAAACCTCTAAAAGGAAATAAAGGCTATACTCAATGCACAAAGTGTACAATGCATGGTCATGGAGCCAAAAATTGTTTCAGAAAAAATGCATGCATGGCCTGCGGTGGTAATCACGACGTAGCTATATGCCAAATAGACAAAAATCCACAAGGAAGTCCTGCCGCATACAAATGTTTTAATTGCACAAAGAAAAATTTTAAGAACAACAACCATAGAGCCGACGATCCACGATGTCCATGCCGAAAAGAGTACCTGGCAATTCGAGAAAATCTAACGAAAAAATTGTCTGTAAAAAGACGACCTGGTCCTGTTAACTTTGATATAGCCGCAAATGAATTTCCCCAACTTAAAAACTCAATCTATACTCCAAACGACCCTAAAACATTCAATCCGGAAATCTCATATGCCGGATTACTTGAATCATCAGCTCAAAAAAGGTCAACGGCCGAACTTTACAGTATTGACGAACTATTTCAAATTTTTACTCACGCGATATCAGATCTACGTAAATGTAGAACAAAAATGGAACAATTAAATGTTATTATGACTATGCTAAAATATGCAATATAATCATATACAAACAAGTCTTAGAGTAATGCATTGGAACTGTCAAGGCATTACCACCCTCTCGCAGTCTGCAGAGCTTTATACATTTTTAAAAGAAAAATCCATTGACATTCTCCTACTGAACGAAACATTTCTTAAACCAAATCATAACTTAAAATTACCTGGATACAAAGTACACAGAAAAGATAGAAGCTCCCATGGAGGAGGAGTGGCAATCGCCATTAAATCTTCTTTGAAACACAAGATTGATTCATCCTATCCTACAAAACTGATAGAAAATATATGCATCACCGTCGAGTTTCTCAACTCCAAAATCAAATTCATATCTGTATACTGTCCTCGGTACACATCTGACTTTATCTTTGACCTTGATATGATAACATCAGAAACGGTGGATTTCTTCATTTTAGGCGACTTAAATGCACAACACCCCAGTTGGAACTGCACAAAATCCGATCCTGCCGGAAACGCTCTATTTAATCATCAAAATAATAACAATTACTATATATATTACCCACCTTACCCCACCAGATTTCCACAAAATTTGACCCATAGACAAGCCTCAACTATTGATCTTCTGCTTTCAAACTCGACAGTGTCATTCACCGACCTGGAAACATATCCTCATACTTTACGTTCCGATCATGTGCCATTACTTTTTTCCATTAAAGAAGAAATTTCCAATACAGAAACAACTTATCTAGATTTCCATAAAGCCAACTGGAACAATTTTACAACTTTAATAAACTCAAAAATAACGGCTTCCACATTACTCAATAGCAGCATATCTTTATCAAACATTGAAGAATCGATAAACGAATTTACGAATATATTAAAATCCACATGTTTTGAGTCAATATGTACTAAACACAAAAAACATAACAAAAGCAATGTGAACGATCTTTGTAGATACTTGATATCCACAAGAAATAAATATAAACGAAAATTTCAACGTTGTGTAGATCCAGACGTCAAAATAACCATTAATGCCATCATCAAGGAGCTTAATAAACTTATTTCAGTAAATGTAGAAAATGAAAGAAATCTCCAATGGTCTAATTTTTTGTCCACTCTGCCTACTGGCAGCAAAAAATTTTGGCAAATTGCAAAGAAAATCCGAGGTAAAAATATTCCAATGAAAACACTAGTAGCTAATGGTAATGAAATAGTATCCAATGAAGAAAAGGCAAATATAATTGCTGACCAATTCGAAAAAGCTCATTTAATTACCTTAAACTCTTCTAGCTCAATGGAAATCAAGGTTAATAATATTTATAATCTCTTGGAAAAAGACATCACTCCATCACATACAGATGCCAACTCCAGAACATCTTTTGAAGAAATTAAGTATTTTATTTCATGTCTTAAGAACTCAAAAGCACCTGGCATAGATCAAATTTATAATATATTGCTAAAAAATCTACCTCACTCTGCTGTAAATTGCTTATTGAGAATATACAATTTTTGTATAACAAACTCATACTTTCCGAGTGCTTTTAAATTAGCCAAAGTTATTCCGATCCCAAAAAAGGGTAAAGATCAAAGAATTCCTTCTAATTACCGGCCAATAAGCTTATTAAGCTCTTTAGGCAAACTCTTTGAAAAAATTATCTTCCAACGACTTCAAACATTCGTAGAAGAGAATAATCTGATACATAAATATCAATTTGGTTTCAAACCTGAACACTCCACAACACACCAAATTAGAAGAGTAGTCAATTTGATTAAATCAAATAAAAGACGAAGGTATTCAACGGGCGTTATTCTTCTCGATGTAGAAAAGGCGTTCGACTCCATTTGGCATAGAGGCCTTATCTTCAAACTCTATAAAATGAATATTCCATTATATCTAACTAAACTAGTGAAAAGTTTTCTCAAAAATAGAATGTTCACTGTAGATGTCCAAGGAAGTCAATCATCGTTGCGTAATATCCCCGCTGGCGTTCCTCAGGGTTCAATACTTTCTCCAATATTATATTCTCTATTCATCTCTGATTTTAACATTTCCAGAGGAAATGATATAGCTTTTTATGCAGATGACAGTGCTATAATTTGTCATGGAAAAGTGTCCAACGCAATTGTGAACAGGATTCAGAACGCTCTTCTATCAGCTTCCAATTATTTTTCCAAATGGAAAATAAAAATTAACGAAGAGAAATCCCAAGCCATCATATTTCCTTATAATAAGTCTCCTAAAAGAATTCCCTCTAAAAAATTGTGGATACAAGGCAAAGAACTTCAATTTGCGAAATCCGTTAAATATTTAGGCATTATCCTAGATGAAAAATTAAACTTCAAAGAACATTTGGAGGCGACTTGTCTCAAAGCGGTAAGAAGTGGAAGATCCCTATATCCCATTCTGAATAGAAAATCTAAATTAAATTTTAAAAATAAATTACTGTTATATAAAATGTGTATAAGGCCAATCCTAACGTATGGCTGTCAAGTTTGGTATAATTGTGCCAAAACTCATTTAAAAAAGCTGCAAATAATACAAAACAAAAACCTGAAGATAATTTACGACCTGCCAAGGAGATATTCTACATTTGAATTACACTCAAGATCTCACATGAAGATGATAAGTAATTTGGTAAATGATATGACGCTGTCATTTGAAGAAAAATGCAGAAGATCAAAGTATGACCATCTGAGAAGTTTGATTTGATAACACCTAATCTCTACTATACTATTCGTATAGCGGTCATTAGATGTTGTTTTAAAACTTATCAATAACTTTTGTGATAATACATTATAGGTTTTTTACTATCTTTTTCCTATTAAATAGAATTTTTTAAAATGTATTTAGTAATTACCAATATGTTATATTTTGTTGAAATATCTTTAAGATAGAAACCCAAAATATTGTACATAATCCTAACTATACTATGTTCCTATGATAGAATAAATAAATAAAAAAAAAAAAAAAAAAAAAAAAAAACAGATGTACAGCATTGCTTTATTCGAAAATTGTAAAATTTATTTTCCCTTAACGTCAAACGAATGAGTTTTTGTTTCAACTAAATTTGAAGAATTTCATGCTTTTTTCTATTCACGATTCAGTCGAAGTTTCGATTTTTGACAGCCAGGTGCCCTTATGAATATCGATATGATGAAGGAACTTAAAAACTCCAATGTAAACATAGCATAGAACACATAGTAAACAATAAGACAGGTTGTTCGACTTCAAAATAACTGGGAAAATGCAACTATAGGCTGGAGTCCTATTGTGTCAAGTAGTCACTTAAGTATTCAACAGTTGATTTTAGTTTTTTTTCAACTGAATTTGAAATAATTTTGAGAATTTCTTTTTTATTTAAAATAATGTGCAGTAATATACAATCTGAGTGTATGTTTTGACAGAATAGGTGCATCAAAAGAAAAAAATTGTACTTAGGAGGTAGTTTGGTTCTGCCTTCTATTTATGTGCTATGAAATCTTTTGCAAATATATGATATACAATTGTATCAAAAGTTTTCATTGACAAAAATAAAAAAGGAAAGATCCTAGTGTAAAGAGACAAGTATTGCTTATAAATTAATGATGGCTTCTTTAAGCCATAGACTCAAAGTATGACGTGAAGTAATAAATCTTTGAATAAAAAAAAGATGATTCTACCCACAATATCAGGTTCTTTAAGATTTTTGTCGTGTATTTATATATGCATATGTAGTTACTGTTTCACAATGTCATAATAAATAAATGCGAAAAAAATGCAATCATTACTTGAGGGTTTGTCAAATTTTTAATATATGTTCTACTACAAAGAATAGAATTGTTGAATTTCATCCGATTCTGTTTGTATAATGTCATATTCAAACGTAAAAAGTAGCAGATGTCTCGTAATGAGTGTAGCACCCGTGTGTGTCTTTATTACGTTCATGTGCTCTATCATGATATATTTTATGTAAAATACATGAAAAATAAGTGTTACAAATTGTGTGAACTTCCCATGAAAGAAGTATTTAATAAGTGCAATAACTTCTGCCCAGAGCTGCCGTTTTATTGTTTGCTTTTTTCAAAATTCCAACAATAATAAACTTGTATGTAAACGTGATTTGATGCATCTCATAAAGGGTTGGAGTGTAAACAATGCATAACACAGCCATTAAAAAACACAACACGTCCACCACTAATTCAACTCTGAATGAGTTGGCAACACTAATACGCTTAAGTATTACCAAATCAAAAAAATTCTACTTCATTTCAAATTGAAAAACGGCCTGTCCAGAAATCTTCCTTTTTCACGTTGGCCTTTGGAAGAAACACAAGTGAAATACTTTGAACAAGTAAGATCTTATCCATTTTCTCATGTATACAAAAGTATTATATTTCCTTTCATAGTCTAAGAAATGTATTCCCTTAATGGTTGCCCTGAAAAAGATGCATTGCAAATAAATATGGAAATTATTTCGAAGGAGTTAAATGATTTGGTGGTTACGCATGAGAAAGATTGCGGCACAGTGGTTGCGGAAAATATGCAGCACTCAGGATACCAGAATGTTATTTGCAGTATTCCTCCCAAATTTGCTGGGACGCAATGTGTTAACAATAGCCAACAAATTCCATATATGTTTGCCACTCAGTATCATCTAAATGCTAATTCGCTTGGAGATACCTATATGAATCATTGTTCTACATCATATGAGTCACATCCACTTCCACAGGGAAATGCAAACAACATTACTGCATCAAATGCCCCATGTTTCTCTACTTCTGGTTATTCTGGACCAGCACTTAATAGTGCTTATACAACACCTGTTGGTTATGCTCCTATGCAGCCTTATCGGAGACAGCAAATGAATGCTGACAAAATCAACTCTCCTCCCCTATTATCTATAGCCGCTACAGACAATCTTAATGGCCCGCACAGTGCATCTGGAGGTTCATATAAAAAGTTCGTTAAACCAAATACCAGATTCAACATGATGTCAAAAAATCATGATTATGATTATAAAAACATTGTTGTGGATCTCTCGGCATTGGGTATTAGAAAGGATGGGTAAGTCAAATACATATTTTTCCAAAATATGCCACATGTTTCAATTTTTCTCTTTCAGAAAAGAGCCAAATTTGGTGCTGCGTCTGTTTGGCCTCTTTCGTGACTTGCACATTGCCATTGGCGAACAACCACCAATAATCGAACCCCCTACATCAAATGAAAGTGTTTATGTGCCAACATTTGCCCCATTACCCAAAATTGTTTTACCTTGCACCATGAGTGTCCAGTGTCAGGTGAAATATGCCACAACCCAGGTAGCTACTTTTCTGTGTGCCATGAAACGTTTGATGGCTGTGAATATCGTTTACGATCATAATTTGAATGCCGAATGTGAATTGTATATAATTAAGCTGCGTCAAATGTTGGCCCAGTTTGAAATGTACAAATTCGTTGAATTGAAACACAAACGTGGACAGTTCATCAATGAGAGTGTAAGAGGTAAGTAGAATTAGAAAAATTGTATATGAAAAGAGTATTTAAAATTTTCTTAAATTTAATGAATGAAGGTTAAGAACATATGTTCTTGTAGTAGAGGTTAATTTTTTGTTACCAGATCTGTAGTAGAGGTCGAAATCTACGCATATAACCAAAGACGAAAGATACCTTTGCCCTAAAAGAATTAAATTAACACGATATTCAACTTTCGACTTCGTCATTAGACAAAGACAATGATCTTGCCCACCGGTTGGTATAGCTCGAAACCTTGTTTGTGGCTAATATTAAATGAATTTCTAAAAGTGGAGTTGAGTATTGACGAAATTGTTCATTCGATTTGTCATTTTTGTCCCACACAGCCCTAATATGCCATCCGTAACAACGATATTCGAGGAAATATATCAAATAAACCGCAGAAATACCTTTGGAAAGTTTTTTTTCGAGATCGCTTCAGATTTGAATGTAGCTCCCATACATATCTTCGCCCGATTTGTCTTTTATTGTGTCCCAAACGTGTAATATTAGCCCAAATGGGATAGAATTTGGCACTTGCAACCAAATTGAGCATAGAAACAAGTACTTCAAATTTGGTGAAGATCGGTTCTGATATAGATATAGCTTCCTTCGATTTGTATTTTTGTTCAGATTTGGATTTAGCTCCCATATGTTTTTATCCGATTTCAAGTAATTGTGTACCAACCAAATGGGTAATATAATACCGAATTAAAAAGGCACAAATGCCTTGTCAAATTTAGTAGAAATCGATTCAGAGGGAGGATATTTGTCTTATATATTAAAGTAATGGTTGTAGTTATGACCTTAAAGATACTTTATCAAAACTTCTTAAGAGACAAAAACAATTTAAACCCCTACTCAAACCTCCTAATTTGTTCTTGGATATGTTGAGACAAATTTCAAATTTTGTTTGGCTTGTGTCGTTTTCGTTCTGGTTGGGTTTTACAATAGGTGATTGGACAGCCATGTTCTGACAGAATCTCTCTCCGATGCTAATGCTCAGTGCGTGATAATTTATTGAAGATTTTTATATACCCTCCACCATAGTATGGAGGGTATATTAAGTTTGTAGGTTGATAAAGTTTCACTCATATGTATATTAAATCTGCAGGACTTTTGATATTGAAAATTGACCATTTAGGTGCACGTTTTGGTATAGACCCCCCCCCCCCCATATAACGAAACCTTCCGATGTTTCGTATTTTGATGACTTTAGCAACATTATTCCCCGATTTTTTCTTTAAGTTTAAGTAACCTATGCAGGTACATGTCGTCGTATAGACCTTAATATTACATTCGATATTTTTAAGATTTTAACAGAATTTTTAACGGATTTTGTTGTTTTTGAGAACTGCCAAATTCGTTTCAAATAGTGGAGGGTATTCAAAGTTCGGCCCGGCCGAACTTACAGCTTTTTTACTTGTTTTTTTTTTTTTAATACGTTTCTTATTCGATGGATATATCCTTTTACCAACTCAATTCTAAAATTTAAAAAATGCGATTTTTTCGCTACTGGTTATAGGAGGATTGGTGGCTATTTCCCTGCCTTACCCCCTGGTAAACATTACCATCTTTCTTCACTAATAAATAAACGTTGTTTTATAAAAACAACGAAAATGGGATTAAGTCCGATTATTTTGCAACAGTTACATTTTTTATAATTTATATTTATTAAAAAATTACTAATTGGGAAAAAATGCGTTCTTAGTGCATGCTGAACATTTGGAAAAAATCATGGAGCAAATGAACCATCAAATACGTGAAGTAAATCTACGCGTTATTGCAGCCGATTGGTTTATTGCCAAGAAATATGGACGTACCATGGGAGTTACTCCCAAAGCTGCAACAAAACCTGCTGATCTGCCTTATACAACTGATAATGGGGTCATTAATGAAATATTACAATTCTGTGCCCCAACCGCCAATGCCAAAGAAACAGGTGACGGTTTAGATAAAACAGCAAACGGTGTGACCCAAATAAACTCGGCTAATGCAGAGTTGCCCAGAGCAGCTGCCGTAGACAAGCATGCTGCTACTACTGCTGTTGGTGCCACATGTTTAACTAAATTTAATGGCCATCCAGCCCATAATCGCCAACCGGTTTTTTATATTGGTTAAAGGCCATCAATCAATCTGTGATGATTGCGTGAAAAAATGCTTTATTACACAAATTTATATATATTAATTTTTAATTATTTTCAAAAACAAAATATTAGCTTGTAGTTTTGTTTTATATACCTATTTTAAGTATTTTCTTTTGAAATATTAGTTTGTAGTTCCATTCCATTTTTAGATTTTTTTTCTGTAAGACAATACAAAGGGGAATACAAAGGTAACACCATTCCAAATTAGTTTTTAAAATTGTCGAATTTCTCAATTAAAATTTTAAAAATTACATTTGGAACTGCGTTTTTCCTTTGCATTCACTTTGGTATTGTCATACAAAAAAGGCCATTAAACAATTTTTTAATTATTTGTTTAGGTTTAAGTTTTTATTATTTAAAATTGTAAATATTTTTGTTCATAGTTCATTTATTGTTTTCAATTGTTTGTTCATATTTTTTTACATTATTTATACAACATTAAAATTATTTCAAAGTTTTTTCGTAATTATTTTTCTTACAAACGTTTTGTAATTATTTTAGTGGATAATTTTTTAATCCACTTTATTTATATTCCCCGTTTTTTGTATTGTTGCATTTGTTTGATTTTTAATGGATTATTTGATTTATTTTCCCCTTTTATTGTAATTATTTATGTCTTCTTGTAATTGTAGTCTTTGTTTTACAATTTTCCCCAAATTCCATGCACTTATACTTAATTTGAGGTCGTATCTTTAGGTTTTTTATACAAATCTTTAAATATCTATAATATTATAACAAACATAATTTAACGAAAATCCTCTTTCGAAACTCATACTTTCAGTTTTATTAATATTTTTAGAAGTCCTATATTTGAATGCGTTATGAGATCTTTTGATCTTTAAATGGGATTTATTTAATACTCTTTCTGAAGCAATATGATATACATATTTTGAAATCCCCTACATTTCTGGATTAAAACTGAATTTTTTATATAAAATTTTGAATAATAATTTTTTTCTTACAAATCCATTGGCTTTCATAAAATTTATTAAAAATGTCTTTGGATCTTTAATACTTCAAGATGATATATTCAACCCCTAAATAAGTGGATTCCTGAGGTTTTGTTATTTCAATGTTTAAGACAACCGTCCATAATATTCAGTTAAAGTAACCTGAATAGTCTCTCTGTTGAAGCAACCTCCTGAACAATCTCCTGTTTTTTTAATTTGTCAGAAATCTTTAGGGCTACAATAATAGGTCCTTTTAACATAAAACATTTCCAAGTTTCCAATATTGATTTTTAATTTTTGTTTTCATAAAATTTGTTAAAAATATCTTCGAATTTAGATTTTTCAACATGATACATTTAACCCCTAAATGAGTAGATTAAACCGTCCCTAACACTCTATGTTCTCCTGAATAAACTCCTTTTTTAATTTGTTACAAATTCCCGAGTTTAGAGCCTTGAGCACCCAAATTTTCCTAGCACCCCAGTTGTCTTTGATTTCCTGTTTCACAAAATTTGTTAAAAATATTTTTGAGTCTTAATCTTAATCTAAATATTCTTATCTTTACACATATTTTTTGATGCAAAGTTTAGTATTATTTTAACACATATAACACTTATACAATGAATTATTTATTTTTGTTTTGCAATGAAAACTATTTTTTAATTCCCTCAAGAATTATTTTAATTACAATAATAACAAAAACATATTCTAGTCTTTTGAATTGTTTGCTTTTAACGATATCCATTTTTACTGTTCAATGAATTTCTTTATATTTTCAAAAATAAAATTGTATTCAAATCATGTTTTGTTTTAATTTATTCACACTTTCATAGGGTTTATCAATAATACAGGGTGAGATAAAAAACTGCAACAAAGTCAAACTCCATAATATTTACTTTTTTTTAATTTGATTGTGGGAAATAGCATCAAATTTTGGAATAAGTTTAGATTTGTTTGAATTGGTCTCCTTTGGCATGAATTATGGCCTTCAAACCGCCAATGAATCCGTCACACCGTTCCCGAAAGATGCTCTGCGGTATTTTGGCCCATTCCCGGCGAAGTGCTTGCTTGAGGTGATCGACACTTTGGTATTTTTTAGTGCAAACCCAAAATACTCCAGACACAATAGTCCAACGGATTGGTATCCCGAGGTTTTGGTGGCCGCTGGGAATGAGGCGAGGAAACTCATTTTGTAACCATTCTTGGGTGGCGCGTGCTGAGTGCGATGGTGCTGAGTCCTGTTGGAATGTCCAAGGTCTGCGGCCAAAATGTTTGCGTGCCCAAGGTTTTAATACACCCTCCAGAAAATTTTCGCGATAATATTCTGCATTTATTCTGATGCCACGGTCGATCAACGATAGCCACCTGTGGTTTTCCAGCCAAATAGAAAGAAATCACACTAGCACGCTTGAATTCCATCACAAATAACTTTTTTCTGGAAAAGTCTCATCAAAATGTTTTTGTACACTTGTAAACAATATACAGAGCTATCACTGGAATAATTTTAACAGCTGTCGGACGAGGGGCTTAGCAGTCTGAAATTGCTTGAAGTTTTTTCTTGAAATTCTTGAAAAAAATTTAAAATTTTACTCGAATGTGTATTATTCTACAGGACTTTTGGTATTGAAAATGGGCCATGTAGGTCCACGTATTGGTATAGCCCCCATATATTCTATATTCGGTATTTCGATGATTTTGGCTACATTATTCACCGATTTTTTTTCAAGTTTCGCATTTGAATATAGTAATGGCCTATGACGAAAGTTGCCTATGTAGGTCCACGTCGTCGTAGAGACCTTAATACAAAAAAAAGGGCTACAGCCAGTAAGTGCGTCTCCAGTAAATTTGTTGTGATAATAATTGTGGTTATATATGCCTTGGCATTAAATATTGAATTTCAGAATCTTGACATGAATGATTCCACTTACTTTGTTTAATACCTTAAAAGAAATTAACACACAATAACAATATTTTTATAAAATTTATTTTTCATAAATTCATTGGAAATATTCAGCATAAGGTTGGTGTGCAAAGAATTTACCAATATATGACTTAAAAACCAAACCCAGAGCTTTGCTGAGACCCGGCTGAATTTCATGGAATATCTCACTCCAATTGGCATTTAAGAAATCATTTGTTGACGTCTGCAGTGATGCATCACCATCGAATAAGTGGTCAAAGAAAAAGTGTACATTGTCGGGCTCAAATTGCAGCTTGACATGCTCCAAGGCGGCGTAGATTTTTCCATCCTTTTCGACTTTTTTGAAATCCCATGAAAAGTCGAATTTTATATTTTCTTGCAAAAATTAAATATGAATTATGGAAATTAAAAAAAAAAAATGTGACCTGTTGACGATACCAAAACGAATGAATGAGAATGAAAAGCACGAAACTCGCGTCGCAGTGGCCGAAAGATGGTTCGTGAGCTGAACATATCGCAATATACCATTCGGCAAATATTGAAAAATTAGCTCGGGCTCGTGGTAAAGCCATTGAAATTCCAAAAAATGCAAGAACTTACACCGCAACAGAAAGAAAATAGACTTAAAAGAGCTACAGAGTGGTGAACTGCCGAATTTGATTTTCTCCGAGGAGAAAACATTCATCAAATATCAGCAGTTTGTAAACAAACAAAATGATCGTGTTTACTTGCCAAAGAGGTCAGGTCAAATATCGAAGTGTCGATCAGAACAAAACCACTTTTGACGCCAATTTGATTCTTGCAGGTTCTGGAACAAGTCATATGTTTCTCACAACAAACTTTGTAGGCACATGGGCTCACCTTATATAGGCCTTGTTTAATTTGAATGAAAATTTGGAATGGTACTTTTCGTTTGCATTTCGTATCGCCATCGAGAAACTGGCCTATACTTACTGCATTTAATTTCACAATTTCCATCGCCCTTAATCGGCAACACCAGTACATTGCCATCAAGCATATATTTGCCCTTGATTGTTAAGGAGTCCAGGGAGCCCGCTATAACATTGCGACCACTTAAGTCTTCCTTTAAGCCTCTAAAAACAAAAACATTTTTAACATTTCTCTTATCTTTTAGACGATGGACGGACTAACTGGAACTTTTCTAATTTGATGTCCTTGAAACCTTCTACAATTACATCCTTCAGTTTGATATCCACATTCACAGGACTTGCGGGATTTCTGGCTACATTTAAGGTTTTCAGCGAAAATGGATCGATTGGCAGCAAATTGACATCTGCAACACCATTGATGTGATTCTTTAGAATATCAGCTGCGCCTTTTATGAGGCAGGGCTCATCGCCGTATTTGCATTTGGGAAAGTTGGATGCTAAAATAAAAACAAAAATGTGTGATTATATAGTAATAGTAAATAATATTGTTAAACAATAATAATAAATAATAATAGTTATAGTTATAATGGTTAAAATAATTATAAGGCTGATAATAATAGAGAAGTCGATTCACTTACGATATCCTCCATAGGCAATTTGTAGAATAAGAAACGTTATAAAAATGCAAAATTTCATTGTCAACCGAATTTTTGGCCGTTCCACCTGCTGCTCCAACTGTTTGTAGTGCACTTCTAAATATTTTTCTTTTGTCTGCCAAATTTATATGTCTACTATAAAATATTGGATGTTTTTTTATTTTAATTGAGGACAAGATTCTGACAAGTTTGAATTTCTAATTGGGAAACTGGTTTTTTAATATTTTCGTTTTGGTTAAAACTGCGATTATAAGATTAGGTGCAGTTCTATAAGTGTTGCTTTGTTTCTTTTTTTTTAACGATAGGCGATGCAATGTAATTAATTGATTTGAGACCGGTACCGTACGAAATGTAATCGTAAATCATTGGAGATATATCCGTAATCAGAGACTTTTAGAGGAAGAAATCAGATTTTGGGCGAGGTATAATTTTTTTGTTCATTGGCTTTATGGATAATGTGATTAATTGATTAGAGAAGAAATGAATATTTTTATTGCCTCCACCATAGTATGGAGGGTTTATTAAGTTCGTCATTCCGTTTGTAGCACACATATATATACAGGGAGCGATAAAAAATCTGCCACAAAGTCAAACCCCATTAATTTTATTTTTTTTTTTAATTTTATTGAATGAAAGCAAAAAATGTCGGAAATATCATCAAATTTTAGAATAAGTTTAGATTTGTTCGAATTGCTCACCTTTGGCACGAATTATGACCTGCAAACGGCCAATGAAACCGTTACACGCTGCCCGAATGTTGCTCTGCGGTATTTTGACCCATTCCCGGCGGAAAGCCTGCTAGAGGTAATCGACACTTTGGTATTTTTTAGTACCAACCTTGCTTTCCAAAATACTCCAGACCCAATAGTCCAACGGATTGGTATCCGGAGATTTTGGTGGCCATTTTGTATCCATTCATGGGTGTCGCGGGCTGAGTGCGATGGTGCTGAGTCCTGTTGGAATGTTCAAGGTCACCGACTAAAATGTTTGCGTGTCCAAGGCTTTAATACACCCTCCAGAATATTTTCGCGATAATATTCGGCATTTATTCTGATGCCACGTTCGATTAATACGAGCGGAGAGCGACCATCGGCTGTTATGGCTGCCCACACCATTACCATGGCCGGCGATTGAGTTCTGAGTTCTGTTCATCTCACCCTGAATATTCTTGATCAGCATAAAATTCTATGTCGATTTAGCGATGTCCGTCCGTCCGTCTGTCCGTCTATACGTCTGTAGCTTCTGAACGAAATGTAGTATGTTCATAAAATTTTACTCAAATGTATATTATGTCTGCAGGACGTTTGGTATTGAAAATGGGACATGTAGGTCCACGTCTTCGTATAACCCCCATATAACGGTACCTCTCGATATTCGGCACTTTGATGATTTTAGCGGCATTATTCACCGGAATTGTTTCAAATTTTGTATTTGAAGTTCGTAATGGATACTACAGCCTATGACAGAAAATTGTCTGTGCAGTTCCACGTCTACGTATAGGCCCCATATAACGGTACCTCCTGATCTTCGGTATTTTGATAATTTTAGCGACATTTTTCACCGGAATTGTTTCAAACTTGGTATTTAAAGTTCGTAATGGATACTTCAGCCTATGACAGAAAATTGTCTGTGCAGGTTCACGTCTTCGTATAGCCACCATATAATGGTACCTCCCAATATACGGTATTTTGATGATTTTACAGACATTTTTCAACGGAATTGTTTCGAATATGGTATTTGAAGTTCGTAATGGATACTACAGCCTATGACAGAAAATTGTCTGTGCAGTTCCACGTCCACGTATAGGCCCCATATAACGGTACCTCCTGATATTCGGTATTTTGATAACTTTTCCTACATTATTCACCGGAATTGTTTCAAATTTGGTATTTAAAGTTCGTAATGGATATTACAGCCTATGACAGAAAATTTTCCGTGCAAGTCCACGCCTTCGTATAGCGCCCATAAAACGGCCCCTCCCAATATTCGGTATTTTGATGATTTTAGCTACATTATTCACCGGAATTCTTTCAAATTTGGTATATGAAGTTTGTAATAGATACTACAGTCTATGACAGAAAATTGTTTGTGCAGGTCCACGCCTTCGTATAGCCCCTATATAACGCCACCTCCCAATATTCGGTATTTTGATAATTTTAGAGACATTATTCACCGGAATTGTTTCAAATTTTGTATTTGAAGTTCGTAATGGATACTACAGCCTATGACAGAAAATTGTCTGTACAGGTCCACGTTTTCGTATAGCCCCCATATAATGGTACCTCCCAAAATACGGTATTTTGATGATTTTACAGACATTTTTCAACGGAATTGTTTCGAATATGGTATTTGAAGTTCGTAATGGATATTACAGCCTATGACAGAAAATTGCCTGTGCAGGTCCACGTCTTCGTATAGCCCTCATATAACGGTACCTCCCGATATTCGGTATTTTGATGATTTTGCCTATATTATTCAACGATTTTTTTCAAGTTTCGCATTTGAATATTGTAATGGCTTATGACAAAATTTGCCTATGCAGGTCTATATCGTCGTATAGACCCTTATACAACGTCTATATTCGGTATTTTTAAAATTTTAACAGAATTTTTAACGGATTTTATTTTTATTAATTGCCAAATTCTCTCCAAATGGTGGAGGGTATTCAAAATTCGGTCCGGTCGAACTTACTGCTTTTTTACTTGTTTATATTATAAAATAATAGCTAAGCAGAGCTTGACGCAAAAGGTCCATGAACTTGGCCATAATTAAATTTTGTTTTGCCATTCGTTTTCGAATTGAATTCATTATCTAGCTTAGGATTGCACTTGAAATGAAACAAATGAAAAAATCCGCACATTTTGTATTGAGTCGATTTTTGTCACTTTATTGGAAATATTCAGCATAGGGTTGGTGTTCAAAGAATTTGGCAATATAAGCCTTGGCCACCAAACTAATGGCTTTTGTGAGACCTGGTTGGATTTCATGGAATATCTCACTCCAATTGGCATTTAAAAAGTCATTTGTAGTCGTCTGCAAGGAGGCATCACCATCGAATAGATGGTCGAAGAAAAAGTGCACATGATCGGGTTCAAATTGCAGCTTGACATGCTCCAAGGCGGCATAGATTTTTCCATCTTTTTCCACTTTTTTGAAGTCCCAAGAAAAGTCGAATTTAACATTTTCTGTTAAAAAATAATGTTTTAAAAATGTAAATATTAATAATTTGTGAAATTCTATTTAAGCCATTACTTACTGCACTTGATTTCACAATCTCCATTGCCCTTAATCGGTAATACCAATACATTGCCATCGAGTGTATATTTGCCTTTAATTGTCAACGAGGGAATTACACCAGCTATGGCATTACGGCCACTCATATCCTCCTTTAAACCTCTGCAAATAAAAAAATAAGAAGAATTACCTCGCCTCATCTCCTATCTATCTCCTACGCTGTGGGTCTACACTTACTGGAATTTATCAATTTTTACCGCTTTGAAACCCTCCACAATAACATCCTTTAATTTAATATCGACATTAACCGGACTTGAGGGATTCCTCTCCACATTTAATTTTTTAACCGGGAATGGCTCAATTGGTAGCAAACTAACATCTGGCAAGCCGGCAAAGTGATGCTGCAGAATGTCAGCAGCGCCTTTCAGCAAACAGGATTCATCGCCATGTTTACATTTGGGAAAGTTGGGTGCTTAAATAAAATTAAATTATTAATTAATTATAAAAAAATAAAAGAAAGTCAATTACTTACGATACGATCCACAGGCAACTTGCAGTATTAGAAACGAAATAAAAATACAAAATTTCATGGTCAATGAATTTAGCTTAGCAGACGTTCGTTCTACCACCAACAGCTTCAACTGTTCGAAATGAACTTCTAAAATGTTTACAAATACCGGCCAAATTTATATGCCTAATTTTTATTATTAAATGTTTTTTGTTTTATTCTCAACAAGAGGAATATTATTTTTATTTTTAAAGAAACCGGTTTTAATACATTTTGCATCTTTTTGTACTTTTTGTTTAGATGTAATCCATATTTTTTTAAATGCATTGATCTAAGTGATCATTTCACTTTTTTTACGATCCAAAATGTAATTAATTGAATTGAGAAATGTATATCTGTGTCCAGAGGCTAATTTTTTGACAGTTAAAAATAAATTCTAAATGTATTTATTTAAATATTTTTTGGACGTGTTTTCGTATTATTGGGAATGTATATTAGCAATTTTTTTAATGATCAGAATAAATAAATAATCAGTAATATCTGATTCAATCAATACATTGACTCATATAAGTATCGATATTGCGAAACTTTGTCTTTTTTTAAAAATATTTTTTTTACTTTCCCAGGACTTTGATAAATTATTTTTAAGCTAAAAAATATTCAATCCAATGCATCAACATTCAATTAGTTTGATTTATTATTCTTTCGAACATCATCTATTGATTAGTTTATTTGAGAATGGTCAAAAAACGTAGCCCGTTCAGAAATGATTCTAGGTCTAATGAACATTTTTTTCTTTTTTTTTTTAATTATAACAAGTTTTGAATTTTAAAATAAGTCATATAAGTCATGGGATTAACAACCGGAAAAAAATTAACAATTCCATTAAAATGGGCAAAATTATCAAAAAATTGCTCTTTTGCCAGAGAATTGCAGCATCTTTCTTTCATACATGGCAAAGTGGTTGAAAATTCTGTAACTTTTGAAAAAATGTTTCATTATTTCAATCTTTATATTTCATTGGCAACACCATTCTCAGATGTTTTATAAAATACTTTAGTTGAAATTCGAGAATTCGAAATATTTTGTAATTCGAAATATTTTGATTGTAATTCGAGGTTACAATTGGAAATTCGCCTTTTTCCGTTTGAAATTCGAAATAAAAAAACACAATTAAAAAGGCTGTAAGTTCAGCCGGGCCGATCTTTGAATACTCTCCTCCAGTTGGAACGATTTTGAATTTTCAAAAAAATAAAAGACGTGGATCTGCACAGACAATTTTCTGTGATAGACCTATTACGAACTTCAAATACCAAATTTGAAACATTTCCAGTGAATAATGGCGCTAAAATCATCAAAATACCGAATATCGGGAGGTACCGTTATATGGAGGCTATAGGAAGACGTGGACCTGCACAGACAATTTTCTGCCATAACGAACTTCAAATGCCAAATTTGAAACATTTCCAGTGAATAATGTCGCTAAAATCATCAAAATACCGAATATGGGGGGGGGGGGGGGGGGGACCGTTATATGGGAGCTATACGAAGACGTGGATCTGTACATTTTTCTGTCATAGGCAGTAGTATCTATGGCGAACTTCAAATACCAAATTTGAAACAATTCCAGTAAATAATGTCGGTAAAATCATCAAAATACCGAAAATCGGGGGGTACCGTTATATGGGGGCTATACGAAGACGTGGACCTGAACAGACAATTTTCTGTCACAGGCTGTAGTACCCATTACAAACTTCAAATAACAAATTTGAAAATTTTCCAGTGAATAATATCGCTTAAATCACCGAAATACCGAAAAAAGGGAGGTACCATTATATGGGGGCTTTACGAAGGCGTGGACCTGCACAGACAATTTTCTGTCATAGGCTGTAGTATCTATGGCGAACTTCAAATACCAAATTTGAAACAATTCCGGCTAAAATCATCAAAGTACCGAATATCGGGAGGTTCCGTTATATGGGGGCTATACGAAGACGTGGACCTGCACAGACAATTTTCTGTCATAGGCAGTAGTACCCATTACAAATTTCAAATACCAAATTTGAAACATTTCCAGTGAATAATGTCGCTTAAATCGCCGAAATACCGAAAAAAGGAGGTACTATTATATGGGGGCTACACCAAAACGTGGACCTACATGACCTATTTTCCATACCAAAAGTCCTGCAGACATAATATACATTTGGTTAAAATTGTATCAACCTACTTCATTTTGTTCGGAAGCTAGAGTGATTTCGACTTAGAATTTTATGCTGATCAAGAATATATGTGCTTTGTGGGGTCTAAAATGTATATTAGTTAATTGAGCGAAACATATTTCCACAAGTGCTCCATCCTGACATGCAAGTCATTGTGTGAATTGAACGTATGAAAACGTGAAGAGAAATTTTGACAATATGAAGGTTTTCAATCACAATGGTATTTTTCGTCGCTACCTACACGGGCCTTGAGACTACCCAAAGCATTCAAATTGTAGTAGAACTTTCCCCATGTCCTCTTGAGATGATAGGGCTTATGAATTTATCGTATGATTGTACTCGGCGGAAGACCTCCATCATAATCTGTTATTGTCAGTTATTATATAGGAAGAACAAATCACAGGGATAGATGCTCGATTTGTCGGGGTAAAATAACAAGCCATTTTTACCGCCACCGACCGAAATCGTTTCGAATGCTTTTCATCCCTGCTTGCTAAAATGTATTTACAATAACTCAATTTCAGTAAAGTTATTTTGTAACCACTGATTTAAAATAAGCCTCAAAGTATGCAGTAGCAATCAACAATTAATTTTAGAGATTTTTCTTTTTTGCCAAAAGATGTCGTGCCATCGATCCATGAACATATCAAATCATGAAATATTTGTTCAAATATTGACCCAATAATTTCCAATGCAAAAAAATCAGGGCCTCTATTCTGCTTGTTTTCATTATTACTTATCGACTCATTTGACTTTTCGATTTGTTTCCACTTTTCCAATGAATGCGCCAAAAAGCCCTGAGGAAAATGTAATGCAAAATGAGCGAATTAGCAATGACTAAAACAGGAGAGCTCGATAACCCGATATGGTATTACAGAAAGTTCTTAGTTATAGAAAACTCCTGTCTTTGAAAGAACTTTATGAAGTTATTAATTTTTTAGAGCCCTGTAAGTTTTTCTTTAGAGTGCCTCTTTCTATAACAAATCCTTAAATTTTAGGGTCTTCTTTTTATACAGGATCTCTTGAACTTATAGAAGATCTTCTAAAATACCACAATATAGACGTATATCTCTAGAGGACCTTTAGAATGCCTTTTTTGATGGCGAAGAAACGAAATTTTATTTACGATTGGGTTAACTCCTTTGGGTTGAATTTTTCATTGGATGTTGGGTTGCGAATTAGCGCTGAAGTGGCCAAGAGAGGCTCATTACCTCGAGATGGTGAAATTTAATCGAGATTTGGAAAAATTTTACTTAGAAAAGTTTTCTTTTCATTTTTGGATCCTTTTAGAGATTTAATATGTATTTCACGCTGAGTTGGTGAATGTAGATGGAGGTCTTTTCCAATAGAAAAAACGAGAAATTTTAAAATCATTCGAACTAATCTGTTTAATATTTTTTATTATATTGTAATTCTAAAACATGTTTTTTAAAACTTATAGGAAATAATCAGCATAAGGATATTTCTTGAAGAATGAATTCACCAAGGACTTCACAATCAAACTAATAGACTTCGATATATCGGCTTGTATTTCACGATACAATTCCTTCCAGTTGGCATTGATGAATTCATTGGTGGTGTCCGTCAGCGCCTTGTCACCATCAAACAATGAGTCAAAGTGAAATTCAACATGTTCAGGTTCGGCTTCCAATTTAACATGCTCCAGGGCGGCATGGGTTTGACCATTTCTTTGTATGGCTTTCAAATCAAAGGCATATTTAAATTGGAGATTTTCTAAGGGAATTATGTTTGAATAAAAATTAAAATAGGTAGTGAAATGTAATTATGGCAAGGGTTTACTTACTGCACACCAATCTTAGGGTACCCTCACCCTTTATTGGCAGTATCATAACTTGTCCATCAATAATGTAATGACCCTTGAAGTTTAGGTGTTCTATTATTCCGGTTAAGGAGTTGCGACCGCTCATATCTGATTTGAAGCCCCTAACATAAGGACATTAATTTTAAATATATTATAAAATATAAAAAAAAATCCAACTTACTGCATATGAGAAACATTCATGGTCTTCAGACCCTCCAATTCCAAATCACTTAGCTTAACCTCAACATTAACCGGACTGGAGGGATTTCTCTTCAACATCATGGTTTTAATGTGCAAAGGATCGAATTGTGTTAAACCGATTTCCGGAAGTCCTGCATAGTATTTTCCAATAACCTCGTTGGTGGCCTTGACAATGCATGTTTCTTCCGCAAATTTACACTTGGGAAAGTTGGGAGCTAAGGAGAGAGAGAGAGAGTAAATTATCGATATGTATATTTTTTCACCTTAAACCAAGAACTTACGAAACTGAGTCTGGACCACAGCCAAAATTGTTAGCACACCAAAGGCGGTAAGGAATTTCATTTTTAATTTATTAATTGAAACTTTACACCACCGTAGCTAAAATTTAACTGAAGTTTTCATTTGAAATATTTTATTTTATATAATTTTTAATATACGGTTTTTAATATACTATTTATGTTCTATATTCAAATGTCGTTGTCCTATTCGAATTAAAGGGATTATAACTACCATGTAAATATTACACACTCAACATGACACCACAAAATTCAGTGGGTTTTGGGGGTTTTTACTTTGTAATGTCTCAGATCCAATTGTGTCATAAGTCATATTTCGAACACGAGCTCATTCAATTTTATTTAATTTTAATTGACGGCATGTAGTCTGCTTGTTGTGTCCGGGCAAAATTACCCCGTTTGTAGAACATAAGCAGCAGTTTGTTGGCATTTTTTTTATTTACAATATGTGTCACAGGAAAACAATCGTATAAATTTAAATGTTATTTAAATTTCATTACCGGCGTGTATCGGATTAATGCCAGCGATAGTAGTAAGGAAGAAATGACGAAAATATTCGATATTGGAAAATATGTATGTAGAATGGTTTTATTGCCGTAAAATGTATTTATATATGTATATAGGAGACAATCGAGAGTCCTTCTATTGAGAATTTTTTAACTTACCAGATCTCCATAAAGATTTATAGCAAATCACAGGCTATCTAACATATTAACAAGTTAAAAAGCAGTAAGTTCGGCCGGGTCAAACTTTGAATACTCTCTACCATTTGGAACTAATTTGAAAATTTAAAAACAAATAAAATCCTTAAAAAATTCTGTTAAATTTTAAAAATACCGAATATTGCCGTTATATTGGGGTCTATCCGACGTGGACCTACATAGGCATTGTTTGCCATTAGCCATTACCATACTCAAATTCGAAACTTGAAATAAACGGTGAATAATGTAGCTAAAATCATCAAAATATCGTATATAGGGAGGTACCATTATATCGGAGCTGTGCGAAGACCTGGACCAGCATAGACAATTTTCTGTCACAGGCTTTACCATCCATTACTAACGTCAAATACGATATCTCAAACAATTTCGGTGGGTATTGTACCTAAACTCGTCAAAATACCGAATATAGGAATTTACTGATATATGGGGCCTATACGAAGACCTGGACGTGCATAGACATTTTTCTGTCACGGACTGTAGTTCCCATTACGAAATCTAAATACGTAATTTCAAACAATTCCGGTGAATAATGTCACTAAAATCATCAAAATACCGAATTTTAGGGGGTACCGTTATATGGGGGCTATACGAAGACGTGGACTTGCTCAGATAATTTTCTGTCATAGGCTGTAGTATCCATTTCGAACTACAAATACCAAAGTTGAAATAATGCCTCCATAGTATGGTGGAGGGTATAAAAAGGCCTCTAAGATCGTCTTCACCTCATCGCCCACAAAATCCTATGCAGTGTGCTCTGTGAACCTTTATACCCTATGATCAATGAAATGATTGAGTCATGTCAGTGCGCTTCTAGACCTGGCAAATCCATCATCCACCCAATCTTCACACACTGCAGTCTTTGCATGATGACTTGCGGCCATCAGTACATATAGAGAACAGTTCAGTACCAAATGAGGTTTCAGATAAAAAAACAGTCTTTAGTGTGTTCATTTTAGTATCCCGTTGGAGAAGGTCTTGCGAAATATAGAAGTGAATAGAAAATACACCATATACAGGGTGAGATGAAAAAACTGCAACCAACTTCAGACTGCTGTCATTTCCAAGCCACCCATCCACCAGCTGTTAAAATTATTCCAGTGACAGCTCATTATATTGTTTACAAGCGTACAAAAGGATTTTGGTGGGAATTTTCCAGAAAAGAAGTTATTCGTGATGGAATTCAAGCGTGATATTGTGATTTCTTTATATTTGACTGGAAAACCACAAGTGGCTATCGTTAGAGCACTCCAGAATTTAAACGAGAATAAATCTTTTGTGTCTCGTACCATCGCTAGTTACCGTGATACTGGTAGCGTAGTCCGACGTCAAGGAAGTGAACGAAAAAAAAAAACAGCAACATCAGCAGAAATGGTACGAAAAGTAAAGAAGCTACTTGATCGAAACCCTCGTCGCACTGGGCGAAAAATGGCTCGTGAGCTGAACATATCGCAATATTCCATTCGGCAAATATTGAGAAATGAGCTCGAGGTAAAGCCATTGAAATGCCAAAAAGTGCAAGAACTTACACCACAACGGAAAGAAAGTAGACTCAAAAGAGCTAAAGAGTTGTTTCGCTGGGTCGAAAGAGGTGAACTGCCGAATCTCCGATGAGAAAATATTCCGATGAGATTGTCCAGCATTTTGCAAAAAAAAAAATTATCGTGTTTACTTGCCAAAGAGGTCAGCTGAAAATGTGCACCTTTGGTTGGCCACCCGAAACTCAAGCGCCGTCCATGGTGATGGTGTGGGCCGCCATAACAGCCGATGGTCGCTCTCCGCTTGAATTAATCGACCGTGGCATCAGAATAAATGACGAATATTATCGCGAAAATATTCTGGAGGGTGTATTAAAGCCTTGGGCACGCAAACATTTTGGCCGCAGACCTTGGACATTCCAACAGGACTCAACACCACCGCTCTCAGCACGCTCTATACAAGAATGATTACATAATGAGGTTCCTCGCTGCATTTCCAACGCACAATGGCCACAAAAATCTCCGGATACCAATCCGTTGGACTATTGTGTCTGGAGTATTTTGAAAAGCAAGGTTGGCACTTAAAAATACCAAAGTTTTGGCCACCTAAAGCAAGCGCTTCGCCGGGAGTGGCCTAAAATACCGCAGAGCAACATTCGGGCAGCATGTGACGGTTTCATTGGCCGTTTGAAGGCCATAATTTGTGCCAAAGATGACCAATTCGAACAAATCTAAACTTATTCTTAACTTTGATGCTATTTCCGACATTTTTTGCTTTTACTCAATAAAATTAAAAAAAGGTAAAAATGATGGTGTTTGACTTTGTTGCAGTTATTTTATCTCACCCTGTATGTTCGAGCTATATCCAAATCTGAACCTATCTTTACAAAATGTTAGGCACTTATTTCTGAGCTGTACCTGGTGTCTGGTATCAAAGATCATTTTTGTCGAGTGCATATTACGCATGTGAGGGACTTATGACCCCAAATCGGATCGATCGGATCGGATGAAACAGATATATGAGAGCCATAACTATATCTGAATCGATTATCACCAAATATGAAGTACTTGTTTCTAGGGTGAATTCAGTTTGAATTGCCAAGATTCAGTTCATTTGGAATGATATTGAAACCTGAAATCGGTTGAAGATATATATGGAAGCTTTATCTAAATTTGAGGAAGACGCGATAAAGTTCAAATGGGCAATATTTATCCCCTTTTTTCAGTACCTCCCAAGAAAAGGTAAGCGTTTTTAAAAATAACTCTCGTAATATGTGAAACTTAGCACATTCGATAATTTTGGCCTATGCCAGAGCAAGTTCGAAAATAGAATATATCGGTACACTCTTTTTGTAGTACCTTCTACACAAAAGTTCAAAGATTTTAATTTTTTCAAAAAGTTTGAAGGATCTGAAGAATGTCTATAGAAGACCTCCATTAAGTATTGTATCTCTAAAGACCTGTCCGAGATAACAACGATTTGCGAATACAAACTCTTTTCATAATTTTCTTAACTAATTTATTCGTAACATATAAACATATCTACAAAGTATAACAACCGAACGTTATTTATCACATTTTACAAAAAATGATCCGCAAAGGGATGCTTTTCGTAGAAGGCATTAATCATTTGTTTTATCAGCAAACTCAGCGATTTCGAAAAGCTTGGCAATATTTCTTTGGTTATATCCTTGGAGTTGGTGTTGATGAATTCATTCATATTGTCGCCCAAGGCTTTGTCGCCATTGAAAAGGTTTTCAAAATGGAAATATGTTTCTCCTGGTATCAAATCCATTTTGACATGTTCCAATACGGCATAGGTTTTGCCATCTTTTTCCAGGGGTTTCAAATCAAAAGCATATTTGAGTTGAATGTTTTCTGCAAGTATCGGTTAGAGTGTCTTAGTTCCATTAAAATTTAGAGATCTTTCGCTTACTCATTTTAATTTCACACTGGCCATTACCAACAATGGGCAGCAAGAGAACACGTCCCTCCATTTCATAGTGACCCTTTAGTACGACTTCGGGTACAGTAGCTTCGAAAACGTTGCGACCCTTCATGTCGGCATTCAGACCACTGTTGTTTTGTGAAAAATTAGTTTGTTGCATAAATTATTAATTTGTTATTTACATTTGTGTTCGGAACTTACTCAAACTTGGTGACATGCATATTCTTCAATCCCTGCAATTCGACATCGGTAAATTTAAAACCCACATTCACTGGACTCGTGGGACTCTTTTCCAATTCGAATACTTTAATACGCAATGGATCGAAGGGTAATAAATTCACATCCCGATTGCCACCATAGTATTTCTGGGTAACTTCATTGGCAGCTTTGACGAGACAAGAGCCATCACCATTCTTACATTTTGGAAAATCCGAAGCTGGGAACGAAGGAGATAGACAATAATTGATTTGAAGACACAAACACTTTTTGAATGAATTTAATTTTCTTCACCACACTGGTTTTCTTTTTAAAGATTTCAATATTTTTGTTTTTCAAAATTCCGTGTGTGATATTTACAAACACTACTCACGATAATCGGCCCGCACCAGCGTTACAAACAAAATACTGCTAATAATTGTTAAACATTTCATTTTCACTTAAGCTATGGCGATTCGCTCAAATACCCGAATTTAATTTAACTGTAACAGTGCCGCCGTTTCGTTTCGCTTTTTATACCTAATTTGTTTTGGTTTAGAACGTTTGAAACGTCACATTTGCAAATTTGGAAAACAAGTTTCGGCAATTGATATGCCAGCCTTCTCGTTGATTTCCAGCTCTTCAGACCCTACTTTCGATTAATAATTCGGAATTATGTCATTGTATTGTTTGTTTAATGTCGATATTTTAAATATCTCTTCGACGCTGATGAGTAGTTGGGCGCCATGAGAAAATAGCAAACAAAGAGAGATTCTTTCAAAGGTTGAACAGTAATATAATCTTGATGTCTTATTTTAAAAAGACATTTAATACACTCAGGCACGCGATATTGATTGATTTACATGTGTGATGTGATGTGATATGTGATTGGAATAAACAGAAAATCGACAATCTATTTAATATTGAAAATCTAATATTTTACACCCTCGTACCAGCTATAAAAATACTACGAACGCATGTGATTGTTCGCTGGTTGCTGCTTTGCTTGATTGTCGATGTCGTATATATATATATATATATATGATCGGTTGATAGTTATCTACTTAATTTATCTAGTCAAAACAGCATAAAAATATACATCACCAAGACGACTACAACATGAATATTGATAGGTTATTAATTTTTACCATCAATCTCCCAAAACTCGTATAGGTTTCATTCTAAAGCCAGTTAAGTCGCCAAAGCAGAACTTTGAGAATTTGAACATGGTTTTTAGGAAAACATTGTTGACCTCTTCAAACTCGGTAGGCAGATTTGTGGAGGGCCAATGTAGGTGTTTCCCAATTTGAAAATGTTCAGTGGTACCTAGACACCGCAATAAATTTGTCTCCTCGTGACTTCAATTGTCCTTTTCTATAAAGAAATTTTCCAAATATTTCAAACCGGCAGCTAATACATGATGAAAATTTTATTTAAACGTTGGGCGCCACTTAGTCTCCGGTTTTCTGATACCCTACCCTCTCTCTCTCTCTCTCTCACATGGAACGTTAAAATGTATATGTACAGGGGGAGATAAAAAAGAAAAAAAAAAAACTGCAACAAAGTCAAACGCCATAATTTTTACATTTTTTTTTTTAATTTTATTGAATAAAAGCCAAAAAATATCGGAAATAGCATCAAATTTTAAAATAAGTTTAGATTTGTTCGAATTGGTCAACTTTGGTACGAATTATGGCCTTCAAACAACCAATGAAACCGTCACACGCTATCCGAATGTTGCTCCGCGGTATTTTGGCCCATTCCGGACGAAGCGCTTGCTTGTTGTGGTCGACACTTCGGTATTTTTTAGTGCCAACCTTGCTTTCCAAAATACACCAGGCACAATAGTCCAACGGATTGGTATCCGGAGATTTTGGTGGCCATTTTACGCTGGAAATTAAAAGAGGAACCTCATTTTGTGACATTCCTGTTGGAATGTCCAAGGTCTGCGGCCAAAATGTTTGCGTGTCCAAGGCTTTAATGCACCCTCCAGAATATTTGCGCAATAATATTCGGCATTTATTCTGATGCCACGGTCGATTATTACGAGCGGAGAGCAACCATCGGCTGTTATGGCGGCCCACATCATCACCATGGCCGGCGCTTGAGTTCTGGTGGCGAACTGAAGTTGCACATTTTCAGCTGACCTCTTTGGCAAGTAAACACGATAATTTTGTTTGTTTACAAACTGCTGGACAACGAATGTTTTCTCATCGGAGAAAACCGAATTCGGCAGTTCACTACTTTCGGTCAAGCGAAACAACTCTTTAGCTCTTTTGAGTCTATTTTCATTCTGTTGCGGTGTAAGTTCTTGCACTTTTTAGAATTTCAATGGCTTTACCCCGAGCTACTTTATCCAATATTTGCTGAATGGTATATTGTGATATATTCAGCTTACGAGCAATTTATCGGTCACATGCGACGCGGGTTTCGATCAAGTCGCTTCTTTATTTTTCGAACCATTTCTACTGATGTTGCTGTTTTCTTCCGTCCACTTCCTTGACGTCGGGCTACGCTACCAGTATCACGGTAACGAGCGATGGTACGAGACAGAAAATATGTATTCACATTTAAATGCTGGAGTGCTCTAACGATAGCCACTTGTGGTTTTCCAGCCAAATATAAAGAAATTACACTATCACGCTTGAATTCCATCACGATTAACTTGTTTCTGGATAATTCTCACCAAAATGCTTTTGTACGCTTGTAAACAATATAATGAGCTGTCAGTGGAATAATTTTAACAGCTGTCGGCCTAATGACGTAGAAATGATAGCAGTCTGAAGTGGGTTGCCGTTTTTTCATCTCACCATGTATAATAGATTTTGAGTTGATGGAAATTTTGAAATGTGCCAAGTCCGAATGGAATCGGAAGTTAATTTCACGTTTTATGAGCTTCATTGATAATCAAAATTTTGAACCTCTTGTGGGGGAGGTACCAGTAGGAGTGGACCTATATATCCCAACAGCAGATCCTGTGTTGGTAGAAATAATGGGATGTGTGAAATATGAAGAGAACTGGATGCTTATTTCGAATTTTATAATCGTTTTGTTTATTCAATTTGGACCCTTTGTGGGGGACGTTCCAGAAGGAATGGTCCGATCTTTACAATCTTTATATTGGGCTGATAGAAATATTGAGATGTGCCAAGTCTGAATGGAATCGGATTTTAATTTCGCGTTTTATGAGCATCATGGATATTCAAAAGTTTGACTCATTGTGGGGGAAGTATCAGAAGGTGGTGTCCGAAGACCTTGAATTAATAAAAATATTGTGATATGTGCAATTTGAATTTTTGTATGAGTTATAATAACTCAAAATTTTGACCCTTTGTGGGGAGGTACTGGATGGAGTGGGCCGATATTGTCCATTTTCGCACCTGACCTAGCACTGAAGCAAATATTAGAATTTGCAAAGTTGGAAAATCTGATTATCCTTCCCCTTTCCGTGCAGTAAATCTGGTACCAGAAGGAGCGGACCGATATTAGCTATCTCCGAACTCGATCTAAGTTTGATAATAATATTACGATGTACAAAGTTTGGATCAAATCGAATACTCCCTTCGAGAGTTATCACGCGCACTAGCCAGCCAGTCAGACAGACAGACTGACGGAAGGACATCGTTAGATCAACTTCAAATGTTCTGAAACGAATTTGGTCCAAAAGACACCTAGTGTCTAAAACCGTTATTTCGATGAGGCACGATACCCTCTCTAGCCATATGGCTGAGGGTTTAAAAAAAAAATTTTTTTTGTATAATTCTCGTATATTCTCTTGTTTGTAGGATACATGCTTAATTTATATCTTCCATTATAATCTGCTAATTAAGCCATTTGATTTAATTTCCAAAGAATGGACAATTTGTATTTAATTGTTTCAACGAAGAACTGGATTCATCCATAAATGTATAAATAATCAATTATAGTAAAACCAAACACAATCCTATTTTTAAAAAAAAAGACAAAGAAAACTTATCGCAATTTGGGCGCCATAATTGCCGTAAATCAAGAGCTGTGGTTTTTCCATAGACAAATTGTGTGCATTTTATTTTTATTGGTTTCATACTCCTCCATGGTAATGCATATACTTAAAATATGTCTTCAATAATTAACTAATTAAGTCATTTAAGTAAATTTCCAATGCAATTAATTATTTAGTTGCTTAAATTAAGAACTAGACTCATCAATAAAAAAAAAAAAAACATCAACTACAGTGAAACGTTAGCAAATCGATTCGAATGGCTATTATTTCTAAATACAGTAGTCAAAAGACAATGGGTAAACAAACTGTGAAAGTGAAATTAAAGAAACCCGCTTTATTCAGGCCGCCGATTACTTCATAGCTATACCCTACACCATGACATGCAAAATATGGACTCAGCCAAATTAGATTAAATTATAAAAATAACCCGGAACAAAAGCTTAGGCTTTTAAATATGTATATATGAGTAATTAATTCTAACAAATTTCACGTGTTCTTCATATTCGATATTCTTCCAACGGCACGAAAGCCTATTGTCATAGGCATTTAGAGTATCGTATAGTCAATGACGACTGATATTGATCTTCTATTGGCTACTGGTTTTAAATTTATTCCTAAGTGATTCATAAACAAAAAAAAAAACAGTTAATTTAGAATTTATTGCGTACTCGTTGCCTAAACACAGGTGTAATTCTTTGGGAATATTTTTTTTCTACAAACGTAGACAGATAAATGAAGCGATAAAACCAAACTGATAACAGAACACACGTTTATTGTACGGCGAACACACGTCCGACACCTGATAGATGGGCTTTTCTAACGCGAGTGTCCCAAACCTTCGATGGTAGAAGAGGAATAGGTTGTCGCTGCGGGGAATACCTTATTAATTCGTCGTTATTAAACTGCTCGATTACCTGTAATTGTTCCCGCGAGATTTCTATTACTAACCAATTTTCGAAGGATGCAGCTCAGTCTAGGAAACCTAGAACGCTAGCCATAAGAAAGTTATCTATTCGCCAGAAATTTTGTTGATGGACAGGCGCCTTGGGTTCAAACAGGTCCTAAGAATCTGTGTACAAAATATTTTGTACATACGATTGAGGCGCTGGGAAAATCTAACCATTAAAAAAAAATTTCAAAATTGTCAGTTTCCAAGCTGTCATAAAATATCACATGTGTACAATTCAGTGACAGATAAGAATAATTGTGTGGCTGCGGTTGGGCTAAGTTAGGTCAGTTTTTGTAGCACTTAAGAAAAATATATTTAAATAAAAATCAGACAAACGAACCAACAAGTAGTAAAATTTGATTCTCCCGCTTACGTTAGTAGGCCCAATATTCCAAAGTAAATCAATGTTGTTGTGCAATGTAACGCCCAGATAAATTAATCTGGTCTATTACGAATTTCATTACCTCCAATTAACTTTAGACATTGCAAGCTTTTTTATTAATACTAATTAATACGGTTGCACGACACGAATCGTAATTTATAATAATTCGGCAATATGACGTTTACCGCCTTAGGCCAATAATGCTCATTAACTCGATAGTGCCGGTTTGGGTTACGTTAAGACAGACTTTCTATTAAAAGGGGGCTTGACAAAGTTAAGTTAAGAATTCCCTGAATCATTTTCTGTCTTCCAAGTAACAAAATCGTTCGCTGGTAATACATTACCAAAGGGGGCTTAGGCTCGTTGTTTCGTAGGAGTTTCAACTCGCTGTTTCACAGAAGCTTAAGGCAAATAATTCTCATTAACTTGGTAATGCCGGTTATATATGGTGTTCAGTTTGGGTTAAGATGAAACAGACTTGCTACGGCAGACGGCTTGGCGAAGGGTAGTTAGTGCTTTTCTGAATCATTTTCTGTCCTCCGACTAAAACAAAACGTTCGCTAGTAATTCATTATCACACTCTTTGTTCAGCAGGAGTTTCGAATCGCAGTTTTACAGCAGCTTTTGTAGTAGTCATAAACTGTAGTTCCAGCTAGAATAGTTTCCTAACCATTGTAGACCACCCAAATAGCTAAATCCGAACATACCTACAGTGAGCTGCCGAACACGAACGAGTTCCTATCCATCCGTAAAGTTCTATACATTGGCTGCCGAATACGAAGTGCTAGTTAGAATAGTTTCCTATCCATAGTATACAACCCAAATATCTAAAGCTGGACATACCCACGGCGAGCTGCCGAACCCGAACGAGTCTCTATCCATCTGCGTTGACATCGGCCCCGAGCATATCTACAGAGAGCTGCCGATCCCGAAGTAGTTCCGATCCATCTACAAAGGCCTAGACATTAGCTGCCGATTCCGAAGTGCCAGCTAGAATAGTTTCCTAACCATTGAAGACGACCCAAATAGCTAAAACCGAGCATACCCATGGTAAGCTCTCGATCCCGAACGAGCCCCTATCTATCTGCGATGACATTGCGATCTAGCGATGTCCGTCCGTCCGTCTGTCTAGCAGGCTGGTGGGCACGAAAACTTTCGAAGGGTGTATCCGATTTGATCCAAACTTGGTACATCGTAATAATATTGTCAAACATAGATCGAGTTTGGAGATGGCAATATTAACATCCGATTCCTTTCAGACTTGGTACATCTCAATATTTCCTTTAATACAAAATCTGTTATAAAGATGGTAGAGATCGGACAATTTCTTCTGGTACCTCCTCCACGTAGGGTTCAATATTTTGAAAAACAAAACGCTCAAAGAAAACGAAATAAGCACCCAACTATCTTCAAATTTCACACATAAAAACATTTTTGCTAACACAAGATCTGTTGTGAATATGATATATATCTACGAACCCCTTGTGGTACCTTACCCACTAAGGTCACAATTTTTAATACTTTTATCTGTCATAGGTTGCGAAAAAGTCAACGATTCTTAACAATTTCCTATATCTAAATATTTTTTTCAACCAGAAATCTGATACGAATATGTAATTTATCGGAATCTATTTTAGTATAAATGTTTGGATGTACCAATATTTTTATCTGTATTAGATGAAGTATGAAAATGGAATACTTCGTACCGCTTTATATGTCGGCGAAACTGGCTGATACTTTTTAACTTGTTTTAGTAGTATTTAAGTAAAATATTTTTAAATAATATCAAAATCAAAACAAAATCAAAACTTTAAAAATAATATCAAAATCAAAACCAACCCGTAAAGATGTGTTCCTTTCTCGCCTTAACATTTGGTCCTTCGAGCCAGATATAAGAATCGAATCAACAATCGTCTCTGTACAGCTGGATATAGTTCCGACCGTTTCTTTCACGGAATAGTTCCTTTGAACATTGCGGAGCGACACAACTCTGTATTTAAATAAAAATAATTTATTCATATACTAATTAATCAAAGTGATTTACTTGGCCTATTAAGAAACATAGCCTACACTTTTTTATATTTATTTATTTATTTTATTTTATTTTTTTTGATATTAACCCATAGCTATGAATGCAATGGAATTCCAAACCCATTGATATGTTTAGAACAACTTTAGAACAGATCTAATAATTCAAATTGAATAAAACTTTCCTTGCATACAGCTCCTACGTCACCTCAATAACTTGTCCTCTCAATGAGCGATATTTATATACTAAATTGTGGCCTTAATATACATATGTATATTATTTTAATACACCTACCATACATTTCCATAATAGCCTGTTTTACTTGGCGTCTGCCTATACACCATTAATAAAGAGCAAAAAAATCTTCATTCGTGTGTCTAATTTTTTTTTCAAACACTTTTTATAGTTTAAAACACTTTTTTTATATATATATATATATATATATAATGAATTTTAAAAAACAAATAATGATTTTATCTATTCTGTGAAAAATTTCTCATATGGATATTTGCTGAAAACGTCATTGATAACATCGCCATAAATTTCACTGAAACCTTCGGCCAGTGATGTCCGAACTTCTTGATAAATATCGTTCCAATTTTCATTGAGGAATAAATTCATATTGTCTCCCAGTGTTTTATCGCCATTGAAGAGATTTTCCACTTTATAGGTCATATGTTTGGGTTCGGCATCCAGCTGCATATCCTTAATTGTCATGTAGGTTTCACCATCTTTTTCCAATGGGGTGCCTACGAAATCCATTTGCAGTGTGACATCAACTGTAAAAGGAAATTTGAATGAATTTTGTTAAAACTCATCTTTTCATTTAGAGTAATTACCCATTGTAATATTGCTTTGTCCACTACCCTTAATGGGTAATATTAGAATTTTTCCATCAATGACATAATCGCCAACCAAGCTTAAATAATCGATTTTGAATATCAGTTGATTCTTTTTGGTCATATCTTTGTCGAAACCTCTGAAAGGGTGAATTAGAAGTATTATTAGTGGTGTTACTGTCATTCTTACTACTATTATTTTAGCACTATATAACACAATTACGTCACATTAAATTATTAATTTAAATACTTTTTTTCTTATAAAACAATAATCAGATATTCGGCAGTTTTGAAAGAACCAAAAAGGGAAGTAAAGGCCCCAAAGTAACAAAAAATACAAAAAAAAAACAAGTAAAATGTATCAGTCGAGTTTTCCGACAGATGTATACACCAGCCTTGAGTTATTATTGTTCAAACTTTTGACCCTATATGGGGGAGGTTCGAAGATTTGTTTCGGACTTAGGGCTAATATAAATATTACAACGTGCCAGACTTGGACAACTTCCTATACTTTATAAGGAATATGTGCACATTCTTGGAAAATGTAGAAATTTGCGTGAGGTAGGATATAGCGAATCGAAGTATTCTATTTTCCTACTTCATCTATCAAATCGGAAGGAAATCGAACAGTTATATCCAATTTTACGCGAAATCATAAATTCCGATAAATTACATACTCATATCAGATTTCTGGTTAAGAGAAATATTTAGATATAGGAAGTTGTCAAGAATCGCTGAACAGTTTTTTCCAAGTTATGACAGATATATGCATTGGAATTTCTGACTTTTTGTGGGCGAGCTACCAGAAGGGGTTGGCAGATATATATAATCTTCTTAACAGATCTTGCGTCAGCAAAAATATTTGGATGTATGAAATTTAAAGAGAGCTGAATGCTCATTTCGCTTTCTTTGAACGTTTTGTTTTTCTAAACTTTGAACCCTATGTGGGAAAGGTACCAGAAGAAATCGTGCGATATGTACTATCTTTATAACAGCTCTTGTGTTCATGGAAATATTGAGATGTGCCAAGTCTGAATGGAATCGGATGTTAATTTCGAGTTTTATGAGCATCGTGACTATTCCAAATTTTGGCCCTTTGTGGGGGAGGTTCGACAAGGAGCGGGACCAGAACTTGGGTTAATAAACATATTGTGATGTGTGTAATTTTAAGACAATCGGACCCTTAGATCACATTTTATAAGATTTATAATTATTCACAATTTTGACCCTTTGTGGGAGAGGCACTTGATGCAGTGGACCGATATTGTTAATTTTCGCACACGCCCTAGCACTGATGCAAATATTAGTATTTGCAAAGCAGGAGCAAAATCGGATTACAACTTCTCTTTCTGTGTAATAAAATATTTTTTTTTTTGAAATTGCGTGGAGGAGTTACCAGAAGGAGTGGACCGATGTTGTCCATCGCCGAACTCCATGTAAGTTTGATAATAATATTACGATGTACCAAGTTTTGACGAAATCAGATGCTTCCTTCGAGAGTTATCGTGCGCACCAGCCAGACCGATAGACGGACGGACATCTCTAGATCGACTCCAAATGTCTTGAAACGGATTTGGTCCAAAGAGACCTAGGGTCTGAAACCGTTATTTCCCTGAGGCACACTTTGGCCGTATCAATTTATATATACCCTCTCTAGCCATATGGGTGAGGGTATAAAAAGTATCCCAGTAAAAACAAGGACAATATATGCTCAATTCCTTTGATATTCCGAGCGGATGGAAAAGTCTAAATAAATCTTTCCATTGAACTGTGCAGTCATTCTGTAAGGTAAAGTAACATAGCTCTAGTTTACTGAGCGATCCTTTCCTCAAGAGGAACTAATATGTTCACCTACTTCCTTATGCTCTGTTCCAGAACTGCAAGAATATAAAAGTTTTTACTACGATAACCGATTATCCCTTTATAATATTAAAGAAAATTGCAAAACTAGTAGATTCTTGCAGGTTCTGGAACAGATCATTAGTTTATTTTAGTTCAGTCGGTTCTTTCGGCGGTTCAATCGTGCCTTTTCGTTGTCTGTTCAACTTACTTGACTTTCACGACCTTTGCCGTTTTCCAGCCATGTACGGAATTATTGGTTAATTTCAAATCAATATTTACAGGACTATCGGCTGCTTGGTGTATGCGAACATTTTCCAAAAATAATGGATCGATTTGTTTTAGATTTAAAGAATCATCACCTGGAATGGAATACATATTTTTAATGGACTTCATTTCAGTCTAAATTGTTTCCTGCACATACCAGCATATTTTTCACTCATCAAATATTCGATAAATTTACCGATACACTCAGTATCGCCAAATTTGCAGGGTTGGGGATCGTTGGCTGTAAAGAAAGTATTTTTTAACAAAATATTTTTATTTTTGAGGCACTCTCTATTTTTTTTTGGTTAGAAGAGTAGAAAAAGCTCCTTAAAGTAGGCAATGGTTTTGAGAATAAAACACCACAAAAACTTTTAATGTTATTATTGATCCAAAGTTCAATTTCCGAACATGTCTTCGTAAATCGAGTTATTCAAATCGGCAATAAAGAATCTGTGCTCTTATTCTAACACATCCTCGAAATATCCTGTTTACTTTGTTGAGGACACATTTTTATGGATGTGAAAATTAGTTTGTTTAAACCACATGGTATATTCAATTCAGGTATAGTATGATCGAGTGTTATGTATCCTTTTTTGACATTTTATAGCACTTACGAAATTCTCCCAGGATACCAATAATAAAAACACTTATGACACAAATATTCGCATATAACTTGGTCATTTTCCCGTTTTTTCGAATATTCATAGAATGTAAAATTTACATAAACTACAATTCTCACAAAGTTAGAAGTATTTATACTCTAAAACTATTTACTGTTCTCGCATGTGTTTCTGTGATAGGTGTCAAATTTTAGATTTAATTGTTTAACTCGAAAATGAATGCGTGCTAATAGATAGACGGATGAATTTCATAAGAAATTTATTATAAGCACGGAATTGGAAATTACATAGGTTTCCAATAGAAAGCGATATACGTTTAACGTAATTTACGCCCTTACCTAGGCGAGGAAAGGCTCTGGAGTCAAAAAAAGCCAAAGTTTGCTCATTTTGAATACCAGAATCCAAACCGATCTCGTATTTATCCAAACGAAAAGTACAAATATAGCCAAGTCGCATGGATATTCGAAAAATGGCTCGTGAGCTGAACATATCGCAATATTCCATTCGGCAAATATTGAAGAATGAGCTCGGGGTAAAGCCATTGAAATTCCAAAAAGTGCCAGAACTTACACCGCAAAAGAAAGAAAATAGACTCAAAAGAGCTTGGCCGAAAGTGGAGAACTGCCGAATTTGGTTTTCTCCGATAAGAAAACATTCGTTGTACAACAGTTTGTAAACAAACAAAAAGATCGTGTTTACTTGCCAAAGAGGTCAGCTGAAAATGTGCACCTTCGGTTGACCACCAGAATTCAAGCTCCGGCCATGGTGATGTGTGGGACGTCATAGAAGCTCATGTTCGCTCTCCGCTCGTATTAATTGACCGTGGCATCAGAATAATTGCCGAATATTATAGCGAAAATATTCTGGAGGGAGTATTAAAGCCATGGGCACGCAAATATTTTGACCGCAGACCTTGGACATTCATCGCACTGAGCATGCGCCACCCAAGAATGGTTACAAAATGAGGTTCCTCGCTTCATTTCCAGCGCACAGTAGCCACCAAATTCTCCGGATACCAATCCGTTGGACTGTTGTGTCTGGAGTATTTTGGAAAGCGGGGTCGGCACTAAAAAATACCAAAATGTCGATCACCTGAAGCAAGCGCTTCGCCGGGATGGGCCAAAACACCGCAGAGCAACATTTGGTCAGCGTGTGACGGTTTCATTGGCCGTTTGAAGGCCATAATTCGTGCCAAAGGTGACCAATTCGAACAAATCTAAACTTATTCTAAAATTTGATGCTATTTCCGACATTTTTAGCTTTTATTCAATGAAATTTAAAAAACAAATGTAAAAATTATGGTGTTTGACTTTGTTGCAGTTTTTTTTTCTCACACTGTAGATCTAAGTTTGATATTAGTATTACGATGTACCAAGTTTGCACCAAATCCGATACTCCCTTCGAGAGTCACCAGCCAGCCAGACTCCAAATGTGATGAAAGTGAATTGATTCAAAGAGATCTAGGATCTAAAACCGTTATTTCGATGAGGCACGTTTTGGCCATATCAAATGATATATACCTTCTCTAGCAATATAACTGAGGGTATAACAAATAAATGTTGGTCTACCTTAGGTCAACAGAACTGGTGACAAAGTCAATAGTAAGTCAGTAGTGATTCCTTTTTGACATTTCCTACAGGGATATGCGACAGCCAAGGCCAGTCTATAGTAGGGGGAGCGAAATCGAGATTTGTACATTCGCCTTAAGCAGAAAAACGACTTCTCGATCTATCGATTGTACCCAATTAGATAAAAATAGTTTTGACTTTTTAAACCAAAATCGATTTTCATTTCAGATCATTATATTCTGAAGTTTTGGCAATGGATAATTTGAAGTGGATCTCAAAATCAATTGGACTTTGCGATTTATACCACAGTCTGACATCAATTTCGAATTTTAGACTCCCATTAATCGGAAGGATTTCATGCAACTGTGCCCAGTGGTGGCCTTCACAAATTTCTTAAATTTTGCTTTCATGAGCCTTCCATATTTGACTAAGTACTTGTGACCTATTTTCATTCATTAAGACATTTTTCTAACCACAGTTCATTGAGCCTCCATTTACGGCCATTCTGCCTCGATTATTTATTGACTATTTTCATTTAATTTCATAAATTTCATTTACAATTTAATTTGTAAAATATTTCTCATATGGATATTTGGCAAAGAAACGATCGACAACTTGGTTGGCAACAAAACTGACACCACGTGTCAGAGGTTCGGCTAGCTCCGGATAGATTTCACTCCAGTTCTCGGTCAAGAATTTGTTCATGTTGTCGCTTAATTCCTTGTTGTTGTAGAGGTTTTCGAAATTGAACGTAATACTCTTGGGATACAAATCAATATAGAAATTCTTGACTCTCATATAAGTGGCACCATCTTTTTCATATGGTGATCCGGTCCAGCCAATGCGATATTTGGGTTCATCTAAAATTAAAATAGATACGATATTTGAAAGAACATATTTTAGAGAAACGTATTAACTTACGCATGGTAATATTGGCTTTTCCCTCGCCTTTTATGGGTAAAATCAAGACACTACCCGTTATGACATAGTCGCCGACCAGTGACAGATACTGGGCTTGGCCTGAAATTTCATGTTTACCGGCAATCTCCTTGCCAAAGCCCCTGGAAAATACCAAAGGTTAATTATAATAAAAAAAAAAAAAGAAAAATGAAATGAAATAAAATTTGAATCCTGTCTTACTTCTTTTTCTCAAATCTTAAAGTTTTTATCCCCAGGACCTCAGAACCATTCATTGAGCATCTAATATTAACTGGACTTTCGGCACCTCGCGCCACTACCAATGTTTCGAGAAAGAGAGGATCGATAGACTTCAAATCGTAATTTGTATCGCCTAATGAAAGGAAAAATGTTTAATGTTATTGAGAATTATTTCAAGGACCAAATTTGTAATAAGGACACACCTCCGTGTTTTTCAATCATAAAGTAGTTAAATAGTTTCCCAATACACTCCACATCACCATGTTTGCAGGGTTTGGGATCATCGGCTGGAAAAAAAAGTTTTAAAAAAGCACTTGTAGAGTTGAGTATTCGTAATGGATTTTGAGGTCATAGCCTTTTTTGTCGAGTTTCAGTTTCAAACGAGCCAATTAATGTACAATGATGTTTTGATGTCCTACTACTTTTATGGTCCATACCATCAAGACAATGTTAGCCTCGGTTTGACAAAACTACACATCAAAAATATAATATAAATACTGCGATGTGTCAGTTTCGGACTATATTGGTTATTTCCTTCACTTTATATGAAATATTTGATAATTTTTGGAAACATTAAAATGTGCCTGAAGTACCAGCTATAGTCGACCGAAGTATTCCATTTTCATACTTAATCTAATACAGATAAAAATATTGGTATGGGCAAAATTATAAGAAAATCGGAGATATATATCCGACTTTTTTGCGAAATCATAAATTCCATATTCATTTCAGATTTCTGGTTGAGAGAAATGCTGACTTGTTTCGCTAGAGTTTACAGATAAAAGTATTGAAATTGTAACAATTTGTGGATAAGGGGTTCAGAAGGGGATCGCGATATGTATCATCTTGTCAGATTTTGTCTTAGCAAAAATATTTGTATGTGTGAAATTTGAAGAGATTTGGATTCGTATTTCTCTTTCTTTGAGCGTTTTGTTTATCAAAATATTGAAACCTATTTTGGGGGAGGTACCAGAAGGAGAGGACCAATATATCCCATTTTCACAGCAGATCTTGTGTTAGTACAAATAATGGTATGTGTGAAATATGAAAAGAACCGGATGCTCATTTCCGATTTTATGATAGTTTTGGTTATTTAAAACTTTGACCCTTTGTGGGGAAGGTACCAAAAGGAGATCTGTTATAAAGATGGAGGAGATCGGACCCCTCCGTCTTTATAACAGATCTTGTGTTTGTGGAAATATTGAGATGTGCCAAGTCTGAATGGAACCGGATGTTAATTTCTCGGTTTATGATCTTTATGGATATTCAAAATTTTGACCCTTAAGAGGAGGTACCCGAAGAAGTGGATTGATATATTCCATCTTCACACCAGACCTTGGGTTAATAAAATTATTGGGATGTGTGAGATTTGAAGACAATCGGACTCCTACATCACATTTTATAAGAGTTGTAATTATTCAAAATGTTGACCCATTGTGGGGGAGGTATTTAATGGAGTGGACCGATATTGTTTATTTTCGCACCTGACATAGCTCTGATGCAAATATTAGGATTCGCAAAGATGGAGCAAAATCGGACCGAAGTTTCTCGTTCTGTGCAGAAAATATATTTTTTGAAAATTCATCTTGAATAATATTACGAAAGCAAATTGGATACTCCTTTCGAGAGTTATCGTGTGTACCAGCCAGACGGACGGACGGTCGATCGGTCGGACATCGCTAGATCGACTCCAAATGTCCTGAAACGGATTTGGTCCAAACAGACCAAGGGTCTAAAACCGTTATTTCCATGAGGCACTAGCCATATGGCTGAGGGTATAAAAATCGAATTTTAAGTGGTGGGGGAAGTTCTTGATGGAGATGACCGATATTGTTTCATTTTCGCACTTGACCCAGCACTGATGCAAATATTAGAATTTACAAATTTGGAGCAAAATCGGATTATTTTTTTTCTTCTCCTCTCAGCCATATGGCTAGAGAGGGTATAAAAATCGAATTTTAAGTGGTGGGACTAAAACGAAATATCGAAAGGTTTTTGTTGAAATAAATTATCGAAAAGTTTAAGTATCGTCTTTTCATTGCGATTACATATTTTAAAGAGACAGAGTAAAATGTCTTCCCTTAACGTATTTATATTTATTAATTACTTCCGGATAGCGATGCAATACAATCATAGTTATTCATGCCCAAACAATTCTAAAACCTTAGTAATCAGTATTTCTAATATTACACATTTAAACAATTAATTTTTTAAATAATGTTTGTTTAGTACTCAATTCATTCATTTCAATACGATGTTTAAAACAAACAAACATTGTATTCATTTATTGTTTACTTTCATCTACAATTGTCCCGAAGCAACCTGCAGTAGTCAATCTAAAATCGGAAATCATTAAAAAAACGTGGTATGTAACGTCGTTGAAGTTGTTATGTTACAAATAATTGATTAATTAATTTAATGATGACAAACAATGGAAATATAAATCTAAATGGTTGCAAAACAGCAGTGCTTTGTTGAGGTTAAACGTCTTGCCGCTAGATATCTGCCGGTTAAGTGTAACAAAAAATTATACTTTCAAACGAACGATCTCTCTATTGAAAACACGGGCAAGTAATTGACACCTGTATCAATAAGAAATGTTTTAATTGGTGGAAGATACTCCAAGTAGATTTTAGTTTGAAGCAAGTCATAGAGGGGAAATAATGGATAACTTAACGATATCTAAAGAAAAAATTGTGCAACCCGCATTAAGTAAATTAAAGGCAATGCCGGGGTTTTAATCGCAAGAATACCGCAAGAATACAGAGAATAATTGGCTAAGAGATTGGACTTCTGAAACGTATGGTAGGGACATCTAGAGCAGTTATTTTTGTTACAATAATCTTTTATATTGTATATAGTAACCTGTGAGTACCTTGTAGGAAGGTTAGTCTAGTATTTATGAGACATTATCAACACTTTGTCTACATGCTTTATTTTTCTCCCAGTAGGAAGAAGCATAAGCAATGACAGCCGATAAACTCAGCTTCTTCTTATCTTCATTTCGTTAACTGTTCTGAAGCATACAATTTTAGCGGCTGTAAAAAGCATTTGTTGAAAGTGAAATAAACGAATCTCCAAATTGGTGAAATAGTTTAAATGAAAAATGTATAAAATTAAATTATATAAAAAGCCTAAAAAGCAATTTGTTTTATACCAAAATAGAAACCTGAAGGCTACCGAAAACATTTGAGGTAAAAGTCAAGATTCTAATTTTGTGGAGTATATGGAATATGTTGTGGAGTCTGCTGATGACAACAGGACAGAGGATAGTTTTTGAACGATTTTTCGATTCTAGAATTTGAAAAAAACGGAATATTGAAACAGTATCTTCTCGATAATGTTTGGAGAATATGCTTGCAATACTACAGGAGGAAACCTTGAAAGTATCACCATAATGGCTTAACAAATTGTAGTTTGTTTATACCCTCAGTCATATGGCTAGAGAGAGTATATATCATTTGATCGGCCAAAAAGTGCCTCATCGAAATAACGGTTTTAGCACCTAGGTCCCTTTTGACCAAATCCGTTTCTGGAAATTTGAAGTCGATCTAGCGATGTCCGATGTTGGAGTATCCATTTGGGTCCAAACTTGGTACATTATAACATTATTATAAAACTTAGATCGAGCTCGGAGATGGACAATATCGGTTAACTCCTTCTGGTAACTCCCCCACAAAATATCAATATTTTCAAAAAAAAAAAAAATAATAATTTACTGCACACAAAAGAAAGGATGATCCGATTTTGTTCCAACTTTGCAAATCCTAATATTTGCATAATACCTAGGTCAAGTGCGAAAATGGACAATATCGGTTCACTCCATCAAGTACCAAATTTTGAATAATTATAAGTCTTATAAAATGTGATGTAAGTGTCCGATTGTCTTCAAATTACAGACATCACAATATTTGTATTAACCCAATGTCTGACGTGAAGACGAAATATATCGGTCTACTCCTATATTTATGAAGCTCGTAAAACGCGAAATTAACATCCGTTTCCATTCAGACTTGGCACATCTCAATATTTCTAGCAACACAAGATTTTTTATAAAGATGGTAGAGATCGCATATCTTCTTTTGATACCTCCCCCACAAAGGGTTAAAATTTTGAATAACCAAAACGATTATAAAATCCGAAATAAGCATCCGATTCTCTTCAAATTACACACATCACAATATTTTAATTAAGACAAGGTCTGGTGTGTAGATGAAATACATCGGTCTACTCCTTCTGGCACCTCCCCCACAACGGGTCAAAATTTTGAATATCCATGATGCTCAAAAATCACGAAATTAACATCCATTTTCATTCAGTCTTAGCACATCTCAATATTTCCATCAACACAAGATCTGTTATGAAGATGGTAAAGATCGCACAATTTCTTCTGGTACCTCCCCCACATAGGATTCAAGATTTTGAAAAACAAAACGCTCAAAGAGATAAACATTCAAATCCATCCATCCACCTCCAAACCCTTCTGGTATCTCACCCACAAAGGATTAAAATTTCCAATACTTATATCAGTCATAAATTGCGAAAAAAGTCGGCGATTCTTTACAACTTGTTATATCTAAATATTTCTCTTAACCAGAAATCCGATAAGAATATGTAATTTATCGGAATTTATGGTTTCGCATAAAATTGGATGTCGATGTCCTTCAAATTTTGCTCATACCAATATTTTTTAATCTGTATTAGATGAAGTGGAATATTTCGTTCCGCTATTTCCGCTACCCTTACACATATTTCTACATTTTCCAAAAATCTGCACATATCTCATATCAAGTATATAAAGTAGCCGATATAGTCCAAATCTGGCAGGATGTAATATTTATATCAGTCTTAGGTCAGATACGAATTGCTCAATATTGGCCAACTGCTTGGGAACCTCCCCCATAAAGAGTCAACAATTTGAATAATCATAACTCAAGTCGGGGGGTATACACCTGTCGGAAAAACCGACTGATACTATTTTAATTGTTTACACTTCAGACTTTACAATATTTGGAAAGTGTCCTTTAATCCTTCAGATCTTTTTTGTGGTTTAATTCAAAACACTAACATCACGGACACCGACATACTTTCGTCCTACTCAGATACATATATGCGTTCATTTTAGGAGTATAATTGTAATCCTTTAATTGTTTGGATTTTTCCATTTTTTCTCCGCCGCGTTACACTTACGAAAATCACCAATTACGCCACCAATCGCCACTGCAACTAATAATATCACCACTTTGATTGGCATTTTACTGCGCGATGCTAATTAGATGTTCTGATAAAGATTAAGTTTGTTCGACTATTGAAGCGGACTTGAGCAGGCGTTCCTTATATATGTGATACCTTCGTCATTGGAGAATTAGAGCCCATTAGAATGCACGTTTCAATCATTACACTGGTTTACAAATCAATCGTCGATAATTGAGTAAATGTTTTGAAAAAAAATAAATGCAATCAAGGGAATACAATTAGTTAGTGGAAGAAATATTTAAAAATAATATAATGTCAGCAAAATATGAATAGAAACATTGCTGGCCTTTGATTTAGGGATGGACAATGTTTTACAAAGATGGATATTCTTTGAGACCAATTTTGTTCAACTAACAAATAACTAATTGTGATGGCACATTATTTTGAGTGCGGTTGAGGCGCTGGGAAAATCTTATAATTGAAAACCAGTAAGGAAAGGTCAAAAGCCGGGCGGGATCGACACCACTATGCGTATTTAGTAGAGCTCCCGTAACAAAAAAGTTTATATTGGGAATTAATCTGAAGTAGATAATACCAACTTTGAACCAAATAACTTCGCTGTATAGTGCATGATATGACTTCGATACGGAATATATTAAAAATATTTATTGTAGCAATAGATATACCGGACCTAGTTTTACCAATGGTAAAATTCGGTTGAATATGAAAAAAATCTATTCAATTTGTTCTAATATGTCATATACAGGGTGACATAAAAAAATCTGCAACGAAGTTTTACGCTATAATTTATACTTTTTTTTTAAATTTTACTGAATGAAAGCAAAACTGTCGGAAATAGCATCAACTTTTCGAATAAGTTTAAATTTGTTCGAATCGATCACCTTTGGCATGAATTGCGGCCTTCAAACGGACAATGAAACCGTCACACGCTGCCCAAATGTTGCTCTGCGGTATTTTGGCCCATTCCCGCCGAAACGCTTTTTTGAGGTGATCAACACTTTGGTATTTTTTAGTGCAAAACTTGCTTTCCACAATACTCCAGGCGGATTAGTATCCGAAGATTTCAAGGGATTGGTATCTGGAGATTTTGGTGCCCATTGTGCGCTGGAAATGAAACGAGGAATCTCCTGTTGTAACCATTCTTGGGTGGGCGTGCTGAGTACGATGGTGCTGAGTCCTGTTGATATGTCCAAGGTCTGCCGCCTAAATATTTGCATGTCCAAGACTTTAATACACCCTCCAGAATATTTTCGCGATAATATTCGGCATTTATTCTGATGACACTGTCGATTATTACGAGCGGAGAGCGACCATCGGCTGTTAAGGCGGCCCGCACCATCACCATGATGATGGCCGGCGCTTGAGTTCTGGTGGCCAACCGAAGTTGCACATTTTCAGCTGACCTCTTTGGCAAGTAAACACGATCATTTTGTTTGTTTACAAACTGCTGGACAACGAATGTTTTCTCATCGGAGAAAACCAAATTCGGCAGATCACCGCTTTCGGCCAAGCGAAACAACTCTTTAGCTCTTTTCAGTCTATTTTCTTTCTGTTGCGGTGTAAGTTCTTACACTTTTTGGAAGTTCAATGGCAATTTTTCAATATTTGCCGAATGGAACATTGCGATATGTGCAGCTCACAAGCCATTTCTCGGCCACTGAGACGCGGGTTTCGATCAAGTCGTTTCATTACTTTTCGAATGCTCTGACGATAGCCACTTGTGGTTTTCCAGCCAAATATAAAGAAAATACACTATCACGAATAAATTTTTTCTAGAAAATTTTCACCACAACGCTTTTGTACGCTTGTAAACAATATAATGAGCTTTCACTGGAGTATTTTTACAGCTGCTGGACGAGTGGCTTAGAAATGACAGCAGTCTGAAGTTGGTTGCAGTTTTTTTCATCTCACTCAGTATTTGTAATTTAAGAAAACAGTAGACTAGTGTTAGGGATTTAAGATACGTAATGATATTGATTAAATAAACTGGTTATTCGGTTGGCCACAACACTGATTATGCCAAAATAAATACCCTTATACTAGGGACCTGGTTTACATCTGATGCTGGTTTACTGAAGTCCCAAAGTGAGGAAAGCAATGCCAACTATGTATGGCATGCACGCACCAAATTTTTTCTTATTACCTTTCATGTAAACTTCCACTTAGATGAAAGGTCCGAAATCTTTGAAATTTATACTTAAAAACTGAGATTAATTCTAGGTTTGTCCTGCCGCGAAGATAGGAAAATTTTGAGGTCCGTATTGGGGCCTCCTTTTATTTCCAACACTGGCAAGTATATTTTTTATCCTACACCCGAGATTCGGTTACAATTCTAGGGCAGAAATTGCACATTTACGCATCTCACCTTAACAAAGTTTCGTTATTCATAGACCTATTCTCAGATCTTATGTAAGTCGGAATAGGTAGATAAGATTAGAAAATATTTGTAGATATTATATTTGGAGGGGACACATTTCAGAATATAATATCTATAATTGGGCTTCCGTAAGAACGGTGTTAACTGTACAAAATACCTTCAAAAAGATCTCAGAGGAAGACCTTTCAGAGATCTTCTTTATATGGACAAACTGTTTGTTTTTTTGGAGAAAGATAGAGCTGTAATCTATAAATATTTCTAGTAAAGATAACTAAGTAAAATCAGACCCTTTTGAACCTCGGAACAAGCTACACAATTTTTATTTTCTTTAGTTTATTAATTGCACCCTTGAGACTAAATTAGGAGTCAATCTTTTCAGGGGGAGATTTCATAGACAAGACAAGATGGTGGGGGGAGCTTTCATACTTCTCCAAAGACGAGTTGAAGCAGTGTCCATAATAAAACTGGAGCGAAGTCTACATAGACGAGTTGAAGGAGTATCCATAATTGAGCTGGAGCACAGTCTCCATAGACAAGCTGGAGGGCATTCTCCATAGACGAGCTGGAGCACAGTCTCCATAGACGAGCTGGAGCGCAGTCTCCATAGACGAGCTGGAGCGCAGTCTCCATAGACGAGCTGGAGCGCAGTCTCCATAGACGAGCTGGAGCGCAGTCTCCATAGACGAGCTGGAGCGCAGTCTCCATAGACGAGCTGGAGCGCAGTCTCCATAGACGAGCTGGAGCGCAGTCTTCATAGACGAGCTAGAGCGTAGTCTTCATAGAAGAGCTAGACCGCAGTCTTCATAAACGAGCTGAAGTGAAGTCTGCGTAGTCTTCATAGAAGAGCTAGACCGCACTCTTCATAGACAAGCTAGAGCGCAGTCTTCAAAGACAAGCTAGAGCGCAGTCTTCATAGACAAGCTGGAGTGAAGTCTCCATAGTTGAGCTGGAGCGAAGTCTCCATTGACATAGCGAGTTGGAAAGGGAGTCTTCATAGATGAGGAACATACTCTCCGCAGGCAGAGTTTCCATTGTTGGAGTCTACGCAGGCGAGTTGAAGGTGGGGTCCTCATAGACGTGTTAAAGGCGGAATTTCCATAGAAGAGTTGTGAAGCCTCCATAGACGGGAAGTCTCGTACCTTCTGAGGGACTTCATTTCATCGGTCTTCTACGAATGAAACCTTTAGAAGATCTTCATTAGAAAGATGATTCTCATGAGGACTCAAAAATTGAGAGAAGTCCTCTTTAGGTACCAGCTGTCCAAGGTCTTCCTCAATTGGAGACTCATTTAAACTTTTCTCGCTATAGATGAAGGGTTCAATAGAAGGGCTTTGAAGGCTTTCATTCTATCGATGAACTTTTAAAGTTCCATTGTCTTTACAGTTTAGAGGTCTTCTGTCCATAGAAGACCGGTTAAAGGTTTTCTGTCAATAGAACCTATTTTGAAGAAAGCATTTTACTCTTTTCTTCCTATAGAACACCTCTTGAAGTTCTTCTGTTTATAGAAGGCCTTTGGAAGATTTTCTGTCAATAGAATACCCTTTGAAGGTCTTCTATTTGCAGGAGACCTGTTGAAGGGTCTATTGAAGGCCCTCTTTTTATAAAAGGCTTTTGGAGGCGTTCTGTTTTTCCAAGAATCTTTAAAGGCATTCTATAGAGGACCTATGGAGTCCTTCAGTTTTCCAGGACCCTTTGAGGACTTCCGTCTATAGAAACCCTTTTGGAGGTCCCTTTTGTGTAAGGGCCATTTTGATAGTCTTCATTCTGTAGAATATCTTTTGAAGGCCTTATTTAAAGGGCTTTCAATATGTATTTTTCGGTTAGAACACATTCAACAGGTTCTTGATAGAAAGAAGATCTTCAGCCGGGTTTCTGTAGATAGAAAAGTTGTAACAGGTGTAGAATATTTTAAACCTTATGCCTTATTCTCGAAAAGCCTAGACGTATTTAATGCATCCTGTAGCATGATTCATCTTTTAAAAATTGTCGGAAATAAAAATTTATTATACCACATATTCTTTTCAATATATTCTACGTACAATTTTCTATAAACAAATTTATTCTAAAAACAATTTCTCATAGGGATGTTTATCAAAAACACCCTGAATAACATTGCGGGCAATCGGAGCCAAGCCCTTTGTCAATGCGGTATGGATTTCGGGATAGATTTCCTTCCAACTGTCAGTTAAGAATTTATTCATATTATCGCTGAGAAACTTATCGTTGAATAGATTCTCAAAATTGAAAATGACATTCTTTGGTTCCAAATCAACGGTGAATTTATCCAATTTCATGTGGGTAGCACCACCATCCTTTACATTTGGTGTGCCCATCCAACTGATAGTTATTTTGGGTTCGACTGGAAGACAAAACAAGGATTAGGAAATAATTACATATGTATTGGAAAAATCGTTACCTACCCAGTGTTACATTGCTTTTACCCGAACCGTGTATGGGAAGTACCAACACCTTGCCGGATATCTTATAGTCTCCCACTAAGGCCAGTTTATCAGTTTTGAATATAACTTCATGTTTTGTTGCCAAATCTTTGCCGAAGCCTCTGAAAGTAAAAAAAAAATCAAACGAAGTTATCAGAAAACCAAAAAAAATAATTATACGCACTTCGTTTTTAACAATGTTGCCGTTTTAAGTCCAATCCCCACGTTGTTGGTAAATAACAAATCAATGTTGACTGGACTATCACTACCCTGTTTGATGTGCAACTTTTTGACAGGTATGGGATCCATGGCACTTAAATTCAGGCTGTCATCACCTGGGAGTTCAAAAAAAAAAAAAAAAAAAAAAAAAAATAGAAAATGGTTATGGAAAAATCAATACCTCCTAAGGACTTATTATGCTAGGAGTTCAGGTAAAGATCAGGATAATAATTTAGTTTGAGGAAAGTGGTTAAGGTAATTTGAAGCCGAATTTGTTTGGAGTATATATTGATCTTAATACTCCTCATTTTGAGAACCTTATTATTTAGTAAAACATACCACCATATTTCTCCCTTGCAATAAGTCCAATAACTTTTCCAATACATTGTTCATCGCCATATTTGCAGGGCTTTGGATCATCCGCTGAAACAGTTAGAAAATAGAAATTTATTAAGTGAAAATTTTTAAATATAAATATTAAGTATTAATTAGGGTTAAATCCGCGTGAAAATAAATTAATAAGATTTACGGTTCATTATCTTCATATAGGAGAGCTGTGTCTCCATAGTCCTGCTGAAGGGAGTCTCCATAGACGATGTGAAAGCAAATCTTCATAGATAAGTAGAGAGGAGTCTCAATAGATGAATTATAGGAAGACTCTATAGACGTGTTGAAGGGAGTCTGTATAGACGAGCTGATGGAAGTCTCCAGAGATGAGCTAAAGAAAGTCTTCATAGACGAGCTGATTTAAAAGACAAGCTAAAGCGAGTCTTCATAAACGGTTTGAAGGAAGTTTTCATAGTCGAACTGAAGAGAGTCTACGAGACGAGCTGAAGGAAGTCTTAATAGTAATAATCCATTCTGGAAGACCTGAAGAAAGTCTCCTTTCGAGACGAGCTGAAGGGTGTCTCCACTCTAGAGGAGCCGGAGGCAGTCTGTTCAGTCTTCAGAAGCGATAAAGGCAGTCTCCTCTACTTGAAGGATGTCTTGTGCCTACACGAGCTGAGGGGACTCTCCTTTCGAGACGGGCTGAAGAGAGATTCCACTCTAGACGAGCTGAAGTTAGTTTCCATTCTAGAAGACCTGAAGAGAGTATTTTTTCGAGACGAGCCGAAGTGAGATTCCACTCTAGACGAGCTGAAGGGAGTCCCCCCTCTAGAGAAGCTGAGGGCAGTCAACTTCAAGAGCGATGAAGGCAGTCCTTTCGGGACGAGCTGAAGGGTGTCTCCACTCTAGAGGACCCGGGGGCAGTCTGTTCAGTCTCTAGAAGCGATGAAGACAGTATCTTCTACCTGAAGGTGGTCTTCTCTCTAGATGAGCTTTTGAGACGAGCTGAAGGGATTCTCCTTTCGAGACGTGCTGAAGGGAGATTCCACTGTAGATGAGTCTAATTTTGAGACGAGCTGAATGGAATCTCTAGAAGAGCTGAAGGCAGCCTGTTCTTCAGAAACGATGAAGGCAGTCTCCTCTACCTGAAGAAAGTCTCCTCTTGGGATGAGCTAAATTGAGTCTCCTTTGGGGACGTATTGAAAGGAGATTCCACACTAGACGTGCTGAGGGCAGGGTCCATTCTATAAGAGCTGTTGGCAACCTGATTTTCAGGAGCGATAAAGGCAGTATCCTCTACTTGAAGGGAGTCTTCTCTCTAGAGTCTCTTCTCTAGACGAGCTAAATATAGTTTTCTTTATAGGCCGGCTGAAATGGAATCTCCATAGGCGAGCCGTGGTAGCCTCCGTAAACTAGCTGAGTGGGTCTAGAATGATGAGCTTAAGGGAGTTCACCTAAAGAGTGCCGAAGACAGTTTCCTTCTTAAAAAAATAAACAAAATCTATAGCCGACTGAACGGACATATTTATGAACAACTAGAATGCAGAATTTACTGAAGTCCAGAAGCAAGTATCCTCTGCTCTTAAAAAGAGCTGAAGAGTGTTTAAAGCTGAAAAGGAGGGGTTCTATACATAAGTCTAGAAAAACGCTTTTATTGAGGACCAGAATGGTTCGAATCCTTTTAATCTTCCGATCTCGAGGGCTGGATTTTTGATGCTACTCAATAATCTATAATGAACAGATTAAGGCCGAAAAACTATTTCTGCATTTTTATGCGGATTCCTTTAAAGCTTCGTCGATGACAGACTCTTCATTATCTGTTTAAAATGAGTATAGAGATTAGATTTTAGGTACAGAAATGGTCGGGTTGGACTCACTTCTGGCCCTAAATTTGGAAAAATATTAAGACTTTCGATTAGCTTCAAAAAAGGACCTGATAATGTCTATAAATATTTCCTTTCAGGCCGTTTATAGCAATTCATTGGTCTGGCTTATAAGAATTTTCTTTCAGCTATTCCATGTCTAAAGGACTCCTTTGTAGCTGTCGATATTAACTCCTTTGAGTCCAATTAAAAGGTCTAAATTGCAGTTTAAATTTCAGCTACTCCAAGACGACTCATGGGCTTAGTTTTTACGACTCTTCATCTCATATCCTTCCAGTTTTCGGATACAAACACTATTTTTCCAGGACGCTGGATCATTATCCTTATTTTAAGATTGGTTATAATTTATATATTTTTATCGGAACTTGAAGCAAATATTTTGTATGGCACATGTCTTATTACTTTTATATCGGTTTTTGTGTGCGGATGAGTACCGTTCCAATGGGGAACCCGTTTTTCTATATCCTTTAATTTTCACAATTCCGCTTGGTTTTTTTTTTCATCTCACTTACGAAAGGCACCGTTCGCCACAGTACTCCACGCTATCACCAAGCCGAATAAAATAAAAATGTTTACAAAAAAGTTTTTAAAATACATTGTTGCTATTTTATTTTGGTTGGTGTTTGTTTTTGTTGCCTGACAATCCGCACAATTCGAAGCGTGTTACAAAACTGTTAGAAAGCCATTTATAATGGCGGCATTTTATATACTTGTCTGTTTTGCAAAATTTCCACTTGACTTCGATACGGAATATATTAAAAATATTTATTGTAGCAATAGATATACCGGACCTAGTTTTACCAATGGTAAAATTCGGTTGAATATGAAAAAAATCTATTCAATTTGTTCTAATATGTCATATACAGGGTGACATAAAAAAATCTGCAACAAAGTTTTACGCTATAATTTATACTTTTTTTTAAATTTTACTGAATGAAAGCAAAACTGTCGGAAATAGCATCAACTTTTCGAATAAGTTTAAATTTGTTCGAATCGATCACCTTTGGCATGAATTGCGGCCTTCAAACGGACAATGAAACCGTCACACGCTGCCCAAATGTTGCTCTGCGGTATTTTGGCCCATTCCCGCCGAAACGCTTTTTTGAGGTGATCAACACTTTGGTATTTTTTAGTGCAAAACTTGCTTTCCACAATACTCCAGGCGGATTAGTATCCGAAGATTTCAAGGGATTGGTATCTGGAGATTTTGGTGCCCATTGTGCGCTGGAAATGAAACGAGGAATCTCATGTTGTAACCATTCTTGGGTGGGCGTGCTGAGTACGATGGTGCTGAGTCCTGTTGATATGTCCAAGGTCTGCCGCCTAAATATTTGCATGTCCAAGACTTTAATACACCCTCCAGAATATTTTCGCGATAATATTCGGCATTTATTCTGATGACACTGTCGATTATTACGAGCGGAGAGCGACCATCGGCTGTTAAGGCGGCCCGCACCATCACCATGATGATGGCCGGCGCTTGAGTTCTGGTGGCCAACCGAAGTTGCACATTTTCAGCTGACCTCTTTGGCAAGTAAACACGATCATTTTGTTTGTTTACAAACTGCTGGACAACGAATGTTTTCTCATCGGAGAAAACCAAATTCGGCAGATCACCGCTTTCGGCCAAGCGAAACAACTCTTTAGCTCTTTTCAGTCTATTTTCTTTCTGTTGCGGTGTAAGTTCTTACACTTTTTGGAAGTTCAATGGCAATTTTTCAATATCTGCCGAATGGAACATTGCGATATGTGCAGCTCACAAGCCATTTCTCGGCCACTGAGACGCGGGTTTCGATCAAGTCGTTTCATTACTTTTCGAATGCTCTAACGATAGCCACTTGTGGTTTTCCAGCCAAATATAAAGAAAATACACTATCACGAATAACTTTTTTCTAGAAAATTTTCACCACAACGCTTTTGTACGCTTGTAAACAATATAATGAGCTTTCACTGGAGTATTTTTACAGCTGCTGGACGAGTGGCTTAGAAATGACAGCAGTCTGAAGTTGGTTGCAGTTTTTTTCATCTCACTCAGTATTTGTAATTTAAGAAAACAGTAGACTAGTGTTAGGGATTTAAGATACGTAATGATATTGATTAAATAAACTGGTTATTCGGTTGGCCACAACACTGATTATGCCAAAATAAATACCCTTATACTAGGGACCTGGTTTACATCTGATGCTGGTTTACTGAAGTCCCAAAGTGAGGAAAGCAATGCCAACTATGTATGGCATGCACGCACCAAATTTTTTCTTATTACCTTTCATGTAAACTTCCACTTAGATGAAAGGTCCGAAATCTTTGAAATTTATACTTAAAAACTGAGATTAATTCTAGGTTTGTCCTGCCGCGAAGATAGGAAAATTTTGAGGTCCGTATTGGGGCCTCCTTTTATTTCCAACACTGGCAAGTATATTTTTTATCCTACACCCGAGATTCGGTTACAATTCTAGGGCAGAAATTGCACATTTACGCATCTCACCTTAACAAAGTTTCGTTATTCATAGACCTATTCTCAGATCTTATGTAAGTCGGAATAGGTAGATAAGATTAGAAAATATTTGTAGATATTATATTTGGAGGGGACACATTTCAGAATATAATATCTATAATTGGGCTTCCGTAAGAACGGTGTTAACTGTACAAAATACCTTCAAAAAGATCTCAGAGGAAGACCTTTCAGAGATCTTCTTTATATGGACAAACTGTTTGTTTTTTTGGAGAAAGATAGAGCTGTAATCTATAAATATTTCTAGTAAAGATAACTAAGTAAAATCAGACCCTTTTGAACCTCGGAACAAGCTACACAATTTTTATTTTCTTTAGTTTATTAATTGCACCCTTGAGACTAAATTAGGAGTCAATCTTTCAGGGGGAGATTTCATAGACAAGACAAGATGGTGGGGGGAGCTTTCATACTTCTCCAAAGACGAGTTGAAGCAGTGTCCATAATAAAACTGGAGCGAAGTCTACATAGACGAGTTGAAGGAGTATCCATAATTGAGCTGGAGCACAGTCTCCATAGACAAGCTGGAGGGCATTCTCCATAGACGAGCTGGAGCACAGTCTCCATAGACGAGCTGGAGCGCAGTCTCCATAGACGAGCTGGAGCGCAGTCTCCATAGACGAGCTGGAGCGCAGTCTCCATAGACGAGCTGGAGCGCAGTCTCCATAGACGAGCTGGAGCGCAGTCTCCATAGACGAGCTGGAGCGCAGTCTCCATAGACGAGCTGGAGCGCAGTCTTCATAGACGAGCTGGAGCGCAGTCTCCATAGACGAGCTGGAGCGCAGTCTCCATAGACGAGCTGGAGCGCAGTCTTCATAGAAGATCTAGACCGCACTCTTCATAGACGAGCTAGAGCGCAGTCTTCATAGACGAGCTAGAGCGCAGTCTTCATAAACGAGCTGAAGTGAAGTCTGCGTAGTTTTCATAGAAGAGCTAGACCGCACTCTTCATAGACAAGCTAGACCGCACTCTTCATAGACAAGCTAGAGCGCAGTCTTCATAGACAAGCTAGAGCGCAGTCTTCATAGACAAGCTAGAGCGCAGTCTTCATAGACAAGCTGGAGTGAAGTCTCCATAGTTGAGCTGGAGCGAAGTCTCCATTGACATAGCGAGTTGGAAAGGGAGTCTTCATAGATGAGGAACATACTCTCCGCAGGCAGAGTTTCCATTGTTGGAGTCTACGCAGGCGAGTTGAAGGTGGGGTCCTCATAGACGTGTTAAAGGCGGAATTTCCATAGACGAGTTGTGAAGCCTCCATAGACGGGAAGTCTCGTACCTTCTGAGGGACTTCATTTCATCGGTCTTCTACGAATGAAACCTTTAGAAGATCTTCATTAGAAAGATGATTCTCATGAGGACTCAAAAATTGAGAGAAGTCCTCTTTAGGTACCAGCTGTCCAAGGTCTTCCTCAATTGGAGACTCATTTAAACTTTTCTCGCTATAGATGAAGGGTTCAATAGAAGGGCTTTGAAGGCTTTCATTCTATCGATGAACTTTTAAAGTTCCATTGTCTTTACAGTTTAGAGGTCTTCTGTCCATAGAATACCGGTTAAAGGTTTTCTGTCAATAGAACCTATTTTGAAGAAAGCATTTTACTCTTTTCTTCCTATAGAACACCTCTTGAAGTTCTTCTGTTTATAGAAGGCCTTTGGAAGATTTTCTGTCAATAGAATACCCTTTGAAGGTCTTCTATTTGCAGGAGACCTGTTGAAGGGTCTATTGAAGGCCCTCTTTTTATAAAAGGCTTTTGGAGGCGTTCTGTTTTTCCAAGAATCTTTAAAGGCATTCTATAGAGGACCTATGGAGACCTTCAGTTTTCCAGGACCCTTTGAGGATTTCCGTCTATAGAAACCCTTTTGGAGGTCCCTTTTGTGTAAGGGCCATTTTGATAGTCTTCATTCTGTAGAATATCTTTTGAAGGCCTTATTTAAAGGGCTTTCAATATGTATTTTTCGGTTAGAACACATTCAACAGGTTCTTGATAGAAAGAAGATCTTCAGCCGGGTTTCTGTAGATAGAAAAGTTGTAACAGGTGTAGAATATTTTAAACCTTATGCCTTGTTCTCGAAAAGCCTAGACGTATTTAATGCATCCTGTAGCATGATTCATCTTTTAAAAATTGTCGGAAATAAAAATTTATTATACCACATATTCTTTTCAATATATTCTACGTACAATTTTCTATAAACAAATTTATTCTAAAAACAATTTCTCATAGGGATGTTTATCAAAAACACCCTGAATAACATTGCGGGCAATCGGAGCCAAGCCCTTTGTCAATGCGGTATGGATTTCGGGATAGATTTCCTTCCAACTGTCAGTTAAGAATTTATTCATATTATCGCTGAGAAACTTATCGTTGAATAGATTCTCAAAATTGAAAATGACATTCTTTGGTTCCAAATCAACGGTGAATTTATCCAATTTCATGTGGGTAGCACCACCATCCTTTACATTTGGTGTGCCCATCCAACTGATAGTTATTTTGGGTTCGACTGGAAGACAAAACAAGGATTAGGAAATAATTACATATGTATTGGAAAAATCGTTACCTACCCAGTGTTACATTGCTTTTACCCGAACCGTGTATGGGAAGTACCAACACCTTGCCGGATATCTTATAGTCTCCCACTAAGGCCAGTTTATCAGTTTTGAATATAACTTCATGTTTTGTTGCCAAATCTTTGCCGAAGCCTCTGAAAGTAAAAAAAAATCAAACGAAGTTATCAGAAAACCAAAAAAAATAATTATACGCACTTCGTTTTTAACAATGTTGCCGTTTTAAGTCCAATCCCCACGTTGTTGGTAAATAACAAATCAATGTTGACTGGACTATCACTACCCTGTTTGATGTGCAACTTTTTGACAGGTATGGGATCCATGGCACTTAAATTCAGGCTGTCATCACCTGGGAGTTCAAAAAAAAAAAAAAAAAAAAAAAAAAATAGAAAATGGTTATGGAAAAATCAATACCTCCTAAGGACTTATTATGCTAGGAGTTCAGGTAAAGATCAGGATAATAATTTAGTTTGAGGAAAGTGGTTAAGGTAATTTGAAGCCGAATTTGTTTGGAGTATATATTGATCTTAATACTCCTCATTTTGAGAACCTTATTATTTAGTAAAACATACCACCATATTTCTCCCTTGCAATAAGTCCAATAACTTTTCCAATACATT